TTGATGGACACAGCACCCACCCCTCGGTGGAGTTTGCTCCTTGACACTGCTTGTGACTGACTGGAGGCCCATATCAGAGAGGGTGTTTTATCCCCAGAGAGGACTGCCCATAGGAGGTGCTGAGTTTTTTTTTTTTTTACATCCAACTCAACAAAGGAATGGCTTCACCAGACAAAGATTAAAGTTTTGGAATGGCCCAGCCAATTGAAAATCTGTGGGGTGATCTGAAGAGGGCTGTGCACGGGAGATGCCCACGCAATCTGATAGATTTGGAGTGTTTTTTTGCAAGGAAGAGTGGGCAAACATTGCCAAGTCAAGATGTGCCATGCTGATAGACTCATACCCAAATAGACTGAGTGCTGGAATAAAATCAAAAGGTGCTTCAACAAAGTATTAGTTGGAGGGTGTGCACACTTATGCAACTATATTATTTTAGTTTTTTTATTTTTACTTCCCTCCACCTAAAAGATTTCAGTTTGTTGTTCAACTGAGTTGTACAGTTTATAGGTCACACTAAAGGTGGAAAAAGTTCTGAAATTATTTATCTTTGTCTAATTTTTTTACATCACATAAACCTGACATTTAAACAGGGGTGTGTAGACTTTTTATATCCACTGTAATCATAATAAAGCTTACCTGTAGGTAAAATGAATATCTCCTAAACGTGCACTGTTTAGGAGATATTTCAGCAAGCGGCTGCTGGTGACCTCAGCGGTGCATGCACTCTGAAGGAACAACATACCAGTGCTGTTCCTTTAGAGCTGTGTGCTGTGCCCAGGGCTCCCGCGCGCATGCTTGGGAGTGACATCATCATGGCTCAGCCAGTCAGATAGCCAGAGCCTGCGAACCCGGAAGGAAGACCGGGCAAGGACGGAAGCCCTGTCAGCGGTGACAGCACACTGCTGGAGGGCTTTGTTTTTAGGTAGGTATTTCATAATGTGCTATTAAATCCCTTTGATAAGACATGAGTTACTGTTGGCTGACTAATTGTTTTCTGCAAACAACATGCTTATTTCAGCACTGGTGAAAGTGTTCTAATGCTTTACTTGTGATAAAGAAACTAGAATGATACCTGCTGACTAGACAGAAGACTATGCAATATCAATATGTAACATTTTATATTTACCTGAAAAGAAAGTTCTATTTTTTACTTCCTAAACATAAATATAAAACGTACCAAACCTCAATACATTCACTTTACTGAGTAGCAAACACTCCAGCTCTAGGTGTAATAATAAAACACTTTAGGCTGTATGATTAATACAAGCACCCGGCACAGCTTTTGTTTTATTGAGCTGCTGTGATCCATGGTCCACTTTGAGGTCACAGCCTTGCACTCGCTTATAATATCCTTGGGTGGGTGCTCCTAGCAGGGATAACACTGAAGTACTGAGACGCTGGGATTTGGGTGTCACGTGCACAGCAGTAACTTACACTTTTAAAAGCTCTTAAGCTAGGTTGGAGTCAATGCTCTTTAAAAGTGAAACACAATGGATTGCTTTTCAGAGTGTGGCCTAAGCAGCCGCTGTCAGGCTTTCAGGAGGTGCATCCTGAATGTTGTTGTTTTTTTTTTTTTTTTTTTTTTTTTTTTTTTAATGCACTATTCCAAGAGCCAAGTTTTTGGCTCGTGGTTATGGCACAACCCCGTTGACTTGAGTGTCTGGTTTGAGAGGCGGTACTGCTCGTCAACTCAGCATGTTGAGTTAAATTTGTGTTAACCGCTAGCCTACCGGTCACTTATACCCCCTTCCTGCCCAGGCTAATTTCCAGCTTTCAGCTCTGTTGCACTTTGAATGACATATGCGCGGTCATGCAACATTGTACCATATGAAATTTTTATCATTTTTTTGTGACAGAGCTTTATTTTGGTGGTATTTAATCACCTCTGGGCTTTTATTTTTTCTTAAACAAACCAAAAACTACTGAAAATGTTGAAAAAAAAAATGTTTTTTCGTAGTTTTTGTTATAAAATTTTGTAAATAAGTGATTTTTCTCCTTCACTGATGTGCGCTAATGAGGCTGCAGTGATAGGCACTGATAGGCTGCATTGATGGACACTGATAGGTGGCACTGATGAGGAGGCACTGATGGGCATTGACAGGCATCACTGATGGGCACTGAAAGGCGGCACTCATATATGGCACTGATAGGCGGCACTGACTGGCACTGTTAGGCGGCACTGATGCACACTGGTAGGCAATACTGATGCACACTGATAGGCGGCACTGACTGGCACTGATAGGCAGCACTGATAGGTGGCGCTGACTGGCATTGATAGGTGGCACTGATGGGTGACACTGAAAGGCAGTTTAGATTGGCACTGATATGTGGCATTGATGGGCACTGGCAGGTGGCATGGATGAGCACTGATAGCTGGCACTGATGGACACTGACAGGTGGTGCTGCTGGGGCTACACAGATCATCAGGGCACACTGATCATCAGTGCTCTGATGATCAGTGTACATGTCCCCTCCGAGGAATGCAGATTACCGGCTCTCCTCTCCTCTTGAGCTGACAGCGTGACAGCGATAACTGGCATTCCCCTGTTTACATGTGATCAGCTGTGTTTGGACACAGCTGATCACATGATCGAGCCGACATCTTTGGCTGTTTCCGTGGATCAGTGATCCGCTGTGTCCGAGGGACACAGTGCACCGCCGATCGCCGCGCTGCGCGCTCCGGAAGCCACGCACACGTGGTTAAAATGGGAGGATGTCATATGATGTCCTCCCAGAATGAGAAAACCACTTTGTGTCTGTCATATTACTATATGGCGGGGGGGAGGTGGTTAAACTGCCTTTTCTGGCTATTGTTTAGCTGTTAGGTGAGCTGCTTGGGGACTGTAAAACTGTGGCTCAGCCTCCTGTTTTCGCAGCCCATGTAATAGGGACCCTAGGCATTTTCAGTACTTTTTGGCTTGCTTGTCCTTGAGATTTGGTCACAAGAAGCTTTATGTTGTGCATTGTCTTTGTATTTACTGATGCAATTTACCCATCTCAGTCCAGTGTACGTTGTGTAAACTATATACAATGTATTCTTTCCTTCTGTCACTACAATCTGGTCCATCTTTTACATAGCGCCATTGAAAGCCATTTTTAGACATTGGTGACATTGCCTGCGAATACATGTTCCAATGACATAGTTTCCTTGGAAACCATAAAACATGATGGATTTCTCTGCATGCCCAGTGAAGACAGCTCATTAGTGAGGAAAGCATTGGAAGGGAGCCTGCTGCAGACACTTTTAATTTCATCAAATGACACATGGCTTATAAAAGGCATCATAGCACAGAAGGCACCTGCAGTAACAAATCACCCATGAGGCCTTCCAGGTTAAATATGGGCTTTCATGGCCTACAGGGTCTATCTGGATGTATTTTTCATATCTAATTTCTCTAACAGACAAGCAGCCATAGTGATGTGAGATAAGAGATCCGCTGTTCGAGCAGAAACAAGCTTTCAGTGGACACACATGTTCATTTTTGCTTGCAAAGCCTTCTGTATCCTTCTGATCATCACAATCCATGCTGTTGTATGTATCAATACGTGACAGTAGCCAGTATTGTGCTTATGGATCTGCCCTTACTCTTTGTAATGTATTTTTCAGTGGCCAGAAAAATAGAAATCTTGTTACTTCAGCAGAAGTTGGCCTGTCCTTGTCATTTGTAATTTAAAACACCTGCAGCAGACATTTGGTTCTTTGCTTGCTTAGTATATGAGCAGGTTACTGAGAATGGGCGTAACGTAACTGTAATCACTAAATCCATGACGTTGTGTGTCATAAAGTTACATATGTTACCACTTTTTTCATAATTTGTTGCATTTTAGCTCTAATGATCTCCTGCAGCCTCTTTGCAGCTATTCCTGTCCACATGCACTCCAGCGATCACAGCATGGCATTTATTAGGGTGGGTTTTCTGATGGGGACAAAAGTAGACCACACCTATTGTAGCTGGCCAGCTAAGACCGGTCCTCGGTTGTTAATATGGTTCACATATATGTGTATACCAAACCTGCCAATAACCTCAGTACAGTGTATATGTTAAAGCCAAAAGCAGAATCATTGCTGTAATTTATGTCTTTGATTGTTATATGACATTTATATATTCATTGTGTTAGCAGAAGCAGAAAAGGAAAATATGCCTTTAAGAGTCAGTACTTAGGTGAGCCAATCACAGCCAGCCTCACACTGTACAGAGCCTTAACCAATCCCAGCCAGTTTCACATTTGTACCTGTGTAAAACTCCGTGCTAGATTGTTCTAGAGACACTTGCTCACCAGACAGAAGAGGAAACAAAGTTCCAGTCAGAGAAGCTCCATGGAAGCAGAGAAGGCCAAATAGGTATTTAATGCACTTGTGTGTTCCTCTGTTGTTTAACAGTGCAGGTAGATCTGTGTGTAAAATCTGTTATATGTGTTTACTTGTAGTTCCATCGAATCTAATCGAAATATACAGAACGAATCTATCGAGATAAGCTATCGAATTAAACCACTGTAATACGAATTAAACCACTGTAATACGAAAGAAATAAGCCACTGTGAGATAATAGAAACAAGCCATTGTAAGCAGTGTTATATGAAGAAGATTGTGAAGAAGAAGTTATTAAAGAAGTTAATTAAAGTATTCGGTGTGCTCTTTAAACCTACTGCATCCATAGAGCGGCATTGAAGAATTACAAAGTAAAGTCAGCCTAATCAAACAAAGAAACAGCAATTGCATAATTTTTCTAATGCCACAGTGCACAAGGCACCAAAGGGTGCTGTGCCTGCCACACCTATGCCATGTGTATTAAAAAGGTTACATGTAGACTCCATTTGAAGCCCGTTTGACATAGTGACAACACTGGAGTACGGTTGTGAGAAGTGAACAGAGCATTGTCACCCTGTAATAGAAAGTACCTGAAAGTTCCTGTTGTCTACTTTTGTGTTTTTGTCCATTTCATTCTGTTAAGTATTGATAATCCAAATTTTCTTTTCTGTTTATCTGTCATGACATACAGGCTACACCAGGAACTGGGAAAGTCAGCATCTTTGCTCAGAAAATGGCTGCTAAAAGGGCTGCTGAAGCTGCAAAAAAAGCAGAATTGTCTTCACTTGTCCCCCAGCCAGAACACTTTGTCAGTCCTGCACTTGTCCTCCCTGATGAAAGCAAAACTTGCCATTTGAAAGGGGTTGGTCATTAGCTTGTAATAGAGGCCTTATCAATTTGTACAAGACATAAAGTCGCAAATGGAAGAAAATTGGCAGCTGCTTGATGGAAGTAAAAGTTACATTGCAGTACAATATGGAAGGGATATTTACCAAGTGCACAAACCAAAATTTGCTGTATCCACAGACCAGAATATTGTAGAAATTTTTGCTATGGGATGTTTATTTGGCGATAAGTATATTACTTATGATAAGAAAGTACTACATGCATTGTTTTATGGCAATATTGTCAAAGGAATCTATATACAAAAAGACATTATTATTTTCCTATTGTAAACATTGTCAATAAGTTGTCCTTTTTAGGGCCTGACAAATGTGCTTTGAATCTAGGAGTCAGTTGGAAAAATTAGGAGCTAGTTTTTTTTTAGCATAGTGTGGGTTGTCCGCACTAGGAACAAGGCAACTTTTTAGCGACAAGCTTCACGCAATGCGATTTGCTGCACGACAATTGCAGCAAAACTGCACCACGTTTTAGATGCCATTGACAAAAATGGCACCTGAACCTGCTTTTTCGGATTGCAGCGATCCTGCCACAATCCCAAAACACCCAAGTGTGAATGGAGCTGCCATGGTTCACAGATAAGCGATTCTGGATGAGTTTTAAAGCTCACAGATTCACATGACAGGCTAGGTATTATGTGTTCCTGTTGAGGTGGTTCACACAATTGCAATCCACATGAATTGTGTTTTGAGTGCCATTATGAAAAGGGTCCTGTGCTAGTTTGTAGCAGTGCATTCCAGACAAGCAAGTGATAGAGTAGAGTGGCATGCGTAGATAAGAGTTCACATAGGATTGCTATTGACTGGAGTTTTCACAGAGGTGAATGGAGTGCATTTTTGCATTGAAGTCTACGGGAGGCATTTTTGCAATGAAGTCTGCGGGAGGCATTTTTGCACTGACGTTTGTGGAACGCAATTTTGCATTAAAGTCTATGGGAGGCAGTGTGTGAACCCAGGCGCCAGAACATAATTTCTAGATGTCATAGTGACCTGGCGCCTGGTATTTTTCGAGCCCTGATCCTTTTCAAAATGATGCTAAAATATTTGAATTTTGCACATTTTGAGACACTGAAATAAGTAACAAAACAAAGGAAATAAAAAAATATTAAAAGTAAAAGTCAGCAAAAAAAAAAACCCCAAACAAACTATACGAGGAAGGAGTTAATTATGGATAATTAAGAGTTCATAAGGGGTTGAATATAAATACATTTTATTTTATCAGGTTTTAAATTTTTTTTTTTTTTTAACTGGCTGGTTATGCAGATTAAAGTTCACACAAATACAAAGAAACAATACTTTGAGTCACTGTGACCCTTGAATACTAGACATAAGGGATGTGTTCTGAAACTTTGTTGGCCTTCTTGGCCACTGTGTTCTTCACTTGGATTCAGTAGTCCTAACCCTGACTCCAGGGGAGCTCCTTGTCAGATGGTTTTGAACTTTGCACAGGGTTCTGGTCTTTTTCTTTGTCTTTCCTATGTGACACTGTTTTGGTCTGGTGATTGGCTGCTCAGGCCCAAGCACTACACCCTGGGAAGTCCTGTGGTCCACCACATCCAGAATCGGCTGGTATTTACAGAGAAGGTGAGCATCAGGGGAAGTGGAGTTTCTTACAAGGGAATCTGTCACTTTGATTTAATGTTGGCGTTGAGGGGGATAAACATGGAGATTTGTAATGATGCACTTGATACATTAGCTGTGCAGCCCATACACAGTGGGAGGAGGTGGTGAAGGGGTTAATGTACATGTCACAAGGGAGGATGGAAATGTAGGTGTTAACATACAGATAAAGGGAGCTGAAAGGGTTAGTATGCAGGCTACTTGAAAGACTGGATGGAGCTGAGATGTACCAGAGAGGAGGGGGGGGGGGGGGGGGGAAGGGTTTAAAATGATCCCACAATCACAACCCCTCACTACAAATCTGCTGCTGCTTGTGATCTGGAATTAATAAATGAATGATTCATTCATTCACTCATAAGTTCTCCCATTCTTTTGTTGTAAGGGGAAGGAGTGGGCTCTCCAATGAAAACACTACACTGTTTATGTTTGTGATTTGGTTATCACAGCAATCACATGGTACAGAGCAGCTCGGATTGGTACAATGCCTGTGATATGAGTTGTTCAATAACGGCTTGGCTAATAGCCATTAAAGTGATAATAAAGGCCATTGTTTTTTATTTATTTTTTTCTAAAATAAAAAAGAGGTTATACTTGCTCTGTTCAACGATATTGCACAAAGTGGTCCCTTACCTCCTCTTCTGGAGTCCCCCGCCAGCATTCTTTGCTCCTTATTCTTGCAGGTGCCCCCATAGCAATACACACACACAGTGTGACACTGCCGCGCTCCCTGCTCTCTTCTCATAGGGGCATACCAGCCTCCCAAGGGTGGTTTTATATATTTTTGTAAATGGCACTGCCAAAATACTGTATGCATCCATCACTTTGCTGTTCAAAATTATACCACATAAGTGTTCACTTTCAAATGTTTTTGTTGTTTTAGCTAGGTATTAGTGTAGTTTATTCCTTGTTTCATTTGTTTGCTCAAAGAGGGGCTCACATGTTGCTGCTGCATCCTGTAGCGTTGTGGCTGATTGATTCCTCTATGTTCATGTATTCATTCATCTAGTTTGTCCCTATTTGTTAAAGGGACAGGCAATGTCCTGTTTTGGGTCATGCAGCATCCAATCAATACCTTGCTATTTCTGTGTGTTGCATCAAAAATGTTGGAGATCTAATGTGATGAAAACTCATCTCTTCCCTTCATTGCTATACTTGCTTGTGTTTGTCAGATCTAATTACTGCAGCTGTACCAATACTAGACCGAGAGACCCAGGGATTGTGGGATATATAGTTTCTTCAAGGAGTGTCAGATCTTAAACTGTGGACAGTGGTCATGCATTACCCTGTGCAGTGCCATGCTACATGCCTCATGATTGAACATAAACAGAAATTGCTGACACCAGTTTTGTGAAGATTTACTTTACTATAGGCTGTGTGTACAGAGTAGCAAGTGACACCACAAAACTACATGATCATCACATGCAGGTGAAAATACAAGGTGCTGATGGGAAGGTTTATAATGTCTTCAAGTACCTGTTTGTCTGTTACCATTATGCTTTTTGGTTGTTAGTTTGAGCACATGCTGCCATATATGTACATACAGTATATATTGTATGTTACTTGTTTAAGCAGGGGATGTTTTATTGTTGGTTAATCTGCTGTGTTACAGGTGAAAGCGGCAAAGAAAAGTCCCGTTTGATTACAGGTGAAGGTCTGCGTAGTTCAGAGGCTCATGAAGAGGCACAGAGGATCCATGAGGAGAATGTGAAAAAGCTGAAAGCTCTGTCTGAGGAGGAGATGCAGACAGAACGCGAGCGGCTGCTTTCACAGCTTGGTAAATATACAGCTTTATTGGTCAACGCTTATAGATTGACTTCTGTACAACCACTCTGTCCGCTTCCTGCTGAACCGGCTGAATTTCGGTCCATGTATGGCTGGCTTTACATTGCCCCTGTCCCCACACAGACTGTATTAACATACATCACAGGAGGGCAGTTTCTAAATTTGTAACCCTTTGTTAGGTCAGACAGTATTCAAATCTAGATGACAGCTGATATTGAAGAACTGCAAGCACAGCGTGCAAGGAAGTGAAAAGCATTTAAAGTGGTTGTAAACCTCAGGAAGGAAATATGAACAAAATGTTTCCCTCTGTTGTGTGTACTTGTTTCCATCCAAAGCACTAAGTGCCATTTCTGTCCACTGCCATGTTTCTCTGCTATAAGCACGGGTCACTTCTGATGAGTTTTCCTGACACCAAGAGAAAAATGGCGACAGGGGAGGTCACAGCCTGTGATTGAAAGCCTCAGCTCTGTGCTGTGTGAAAGAGGCATGTCCCTTCCCTCCAATCAGCTCTCTGAGCTTCCTTCACTGATGTAACGTCAGCTTCCCGCCACCTGTTTTTCAGATCTGAGAGATCCTGGGTAAATTCTGCACTTTAAAGTGGAACTCCATCCAAAAGGGGAAGTTCTGCTCGTCTCCCTCCTCCACCCCCTCCACTGCCACATTTGGCACTTTTTGGGGACGAGTGGGTACCTGATTTTGACAGGTACCCGGACCCAATTCCAGGTCAGATTGCCACGTTGATCTGAGCCGGAAGTTTGACCTCTCCTCCTAACCCCCCGCAGCCTTTTGGGACACTTCAAAAGTCCCAGAAGATTGTGGCCCATTCACAGATCGCAGCACGCTTCGTGCTTGCTAAGTAGGCAACAGGCTGTGACGCCACAAGGCTTCACTTTCGGTTTCCCTTACTGAAGATGCCTGCTCCAGCACCCAAAGCCGATTGAAGAATTGGCTCGGGTGAGGACATTGCTGGGCCCCTGGGACAGGTAAGTGCCCTTATATTAAAAGTCAGCAGTTACAGTATTTTTTGGGGGGGATCCCAGAGGTCTGCATTAAATGGACGTAGGGGATAGATTGTTGTAGATAAACGGTACAACTTATGTTTGAGGATGTGTTCCATGTCTGTGTATCCCCTAAGGCCAGCTACTTCACTGGGTATATGAGAGGGTTTACAACCACTTTAAATAGCTAAGCATCAGTTTTTAAGTATTTTTTGCCATGTTAATGGTAACATATAAAGTAGGCATTATCCCATTTTGGCTGCAAAAGTGGAGATGCATTTTATGTTTCATACATTTTTAGTAAGTTTACAAAAGCGTATTGTAGACAATTCATGAATAATAGAGCAGAATATCTGTTGTGTACTAGTAGTAGTAGTGTATATCGTAGTCCTTCAGCAAGTGAATAAATACACTGAAACAGTGAGCTTGCTCAGTTGGTGATAATGAAGGCATTCCTCCTGCTTGAAGTCTTTGTGATTTATTCAATTTATACAGTTCATCCAGAAAGGGTTGTATTGCTTACACCTACATTAAAACTCTATAAGATTTTTACACTTTTGTGCATGAATCATTAAGCCATTGTACTTAAAGGTGCATGGTCCTGTATGTTTGTTACCATTGCTACTTTAGATTTACTTACGCCAGACAAGCAGAACATTCCCAATGATTCCCACTCATGGAATTTTGGATGGCCATGTATAGCCTCTGGTTATAACAAATGTTTTTTAAATTTGTTTACTTTTTCACACCTATGCTTGGTAGCATCCAGGTTGAGTACGCAATGGCGTCTGCATTTCTGTAGTTTTACAATTAAAGTCATACTCTAGGCCACAGGTGTCAAACTGCGGCCCTCCGGCTGTTGAGAAGCTACAAGTCCCATCGTGCCTCTGCCTTTGGGAGTCATGCTTTCAACTGTCAGCCCTGCAATGCCTCATGGGATTTGTACAGTTGTGTCCAAAATTATTCAACCCCCACTGAAATTGAGTGTTTTGGCCAGTTTGACATTGCTTTTGATCATTCAGTCATCTTGCTTACATTTACATTAAAGAGGCACTTGTAGGTCAGACAAATATAACATAACAGTTATAATGAAATAACCACAAATGTCTTTTCTGTGCTCACAGCATTATCAGTTTTATTCAACCCCCAAGTGACATTCAATCTTAGTACTTAGTACAGCATCCTTTTACAGTTATAACAGCTTTTAAACGTGAAGCATAGCTTGACACAAGTGTCTTGCAGCGATCTACGGGTATCTTCGCCCATTCTTCATGGGCAAAGGCCTCCAGTTCAGTCACATTCTTAGGCTTGCGCACTGCAACTGCTTTCTTTAAGTCCCACCAGAGGTTCTCAATCGGATTTAAGTCTGGTGACTGCGATGGCCACTCCAAAATGTTCCAGCCTTTCCTCTGCAACCATGCTCTAGTGGACTTGGAGGTATGCTTGGGATCATTGTCCTGTTGAAAGGTCCAACGTCTCCCAAGCCTCAGGTGTGTGACGGACTGCATCACGTTTCCATCCAATATCTCCTGGTACTGAAGAGAATTCATGGTACCTTGCACACGCTGAAGCTTCCCTGTACCTGCAGAAGCAAAACAGCCCCAAAGCATGATTGACCCTCCACCATGCTTCACAGTAGGCAAGGTGTTCTTTTCATCATAGGCCTTGTTCTTCCTCCTCCAAACATAGCGTTGATCCATGGGCCCAAACAGTTCTAATTTTGTTTCATCAGTCCACAGAACACTATCCCACAACTTTTGTGGTTTGTCCACATGGCTTTTGGCATACTGCAGTCGACTCTTCTTATTCTTTGGAGACAGCAAGGGGGTACGCCTGGGAGTTCTGGCACGGAGGCCTTCATTACGCAGTGTGCGTCTTATTGTCTGGGCTGAAACTTCTGTACCCACATCTGACAAATCTTTTCTCAGTTCCTCAGCAGTCACACGGGGACTTCTCTCCACTCTACGCTTCAGGTAGCGCACAGCAGTCGAAGTCAGCATCTTCTTTCTGCCACGACCAGGTAGCGTTTCAACAGTGCCCTTTGCCTTGAATTTGCGAATGATGCTTCCTAAGGTGTCTCTTGGTATGTTTAACATCTTTGCAATCTTCTTATAGCCATTGCCCTTCCTGTGAAGAGAAATCACCTCTTCTCTTGTCTTCCTGGACCATTCTCTTGCCTTCACCATGTTTGTAACCACACCAGTAAATGTCTAGAAGGAGCTGAGTATCACAGTCATTTTAAAGCTGCCTAATTGGTGCTTATTATGCTTGATTGCTGCTCGGTGACATCCACAGGTGTTTTCAATACCTGATGGAAAGCACCTGTATGAACCTCTGTTCTTCAGAGTGGTAGTCTTTAAGGGGTTGAATAATTGTGGCAATGAAGAAACCACATAAGAACCATTTACTACTGTATTACATAAACAATTGATGTCATTTTAGTTGCATTTGGGTAGTTACAACGTCCTTGTAGGATTTGATTCTGAATACAATTCCAAATGTACACTATAGTCCCTAAACCCCTTTACAGCATTGGGGGTTGAATAATTTTGGACACAACTGTAGTTCTGCAATAGCTGGAGGGCCACAGTTTGACACCCCTGCTCTAGGCAGATGTAAAAGACACAAAGACAAATTAATACAGCTCTGTAGTCATTCATGTACCGTTACATTTTTTTTTTTTATGCAAGCAGGGTATGTACCTAAATTTGATCTGGTGCAATGCTTTGAAAAAGTAGTCATACCCTTTGACATTTTCCACATTTTGTCATGTTACAACTGGGACTTTATGTGATAGACCAACACAAAGTGGCACATGATTGTGAAGTGGAAGGAAAATGATAAATGGTTTTCAAAATGTTTTACAAATATATGAAAACTGTGGCGTGCATTTGTATTCAGCCCCCTTTTACTCTGATATCTCTAACTACAATCTAGTGGAACCAATTGCCTTCAGAAGTCATCTAATTAGTAAATAGAGCCTACATGTGTGTAATTAAATCTCAGTAGAAATGCAGCTGTTCTGTGAAGCCCTCAGAGTTTTGTTAGAGAACATTAGTGTACAAACAGCATCATGAAGGCCAATGAACACACCGTATGGGTCAGGGGTAAAGTTGAGGAGAAGTTTAAACTAGGGTTAGGATATAAAAAAATATCCCAAGCTTTGAACATCTCACTGAGCACTGTTCAATTCGTCATCCAAAATGGAAAGAGTATGGCACAACTGCAAACCTACAAAGACATGGCCGTCCACATAAACTGACAGGCTGGGCAAGGAGAGTATTAATCAGAGAAGCAGCCAAGAGGCCCATGGTAACTCTGGAGGAACTGCAGAGATCCACAGCTCAGGTGGGAGAATCTTTCCACAGGACAACTATTAGTTGTGCACTCCACAAATCTGGCCTTTATGGAAGAGTGGGAAGAAGAAAGCCATTGTTGAAAGAAAGCCGTAAGAAGTCCCGTTTGCAGTTTATGAGAAGCCATGTGGGGGGACACAGCAAACGTGGAAGAAGGTGCTCTGGTCAGATGAGACCAAAATTGAACCTTTTGGCCTTAAAGCAAAACGCTATGTGTGGTGGAAAACGAACACTGTACATCACCCTGAACACACCATCCCCACCGTGAAACATGGTGGTGGCAGCATCATGTTGTGGGGAGGCTTTCTTCAGCAGGGACAGAGAAGCCGGTCAGAGTTCATGGAAGATGGATGGAGCCAAATACAGGGCAATCTTGAAAGAAAACATGTAAGAGTCTGCAAAAGACTTGAGACTGGGGTGGAGGTTCACCTTCCAGCAGGACAAGGACCCTAAACATACAGCCAGAGCTACAATGGAATCCCCAAAAAGACTTGCATTTGTAATTGCAGTGAAAGGTGGTTCTACTAAGCATTGACTCAGGGGGGGCTGAATACAAATGCACGCCACACTTACCAGATATTTATTTGTAGAAAATTTTGAAAACCATTTAATATTTTCCTTCCATTTCACAATTATGTGCCACTTTGTATTGGTCTATCACATAAAATCCCAATAAAATACATTTATGTTTTGGTTGTAACATGACAAAATGTGGAAAATTTCTAGGGGTATGAATACTTTTTCAAGGCACTGTATCAGCCTCTTGCAGTCCTCAACAGTTTGTACAGCAGAATTCAGAGAGGAAAGGGAACAGCAGAAGAAGCCAGTAAGGTGTGCTGCAGAACAAAGATCAGGCTAACAGGGTGAGAGAAGATTGATGAAGGAATGAGCTCATCAGTGGGCTGATTCTCCTTTCTATGCCCAGTCCTAGGCTGAGGGTTGAGGAGGAGACCTGTAAGTGTAAAACTACAGCAGAAAATGATCTTGCCCTCCCCTGCTGTGTGGCAGAGGTGTGTAAATCTCAGGACTGAATGAATAGAAATACAAGTCATTTGGCAAGCAAAATAGCCCTTATATATGTATTTTATCTATGTATTTGGCTGCTAGCCTGGGCTTCAGCTTTAGGTGTGTAAATAGCATTTACCGGTGCTTACATTTCCCAGAATATCCAGAATATATCCAGTCTGCATAAAATACAAATATTACCTAACATTTTTTTGATCTTTCTTATTTAATGTCAATGAAAACACATTTCTCTGCTTATTAACGTATATCTAAAAAAAGCCACAAATGATTGGATAGAGCAGAGAAGGGTTTTTTTTCTGTGCCCCCTAGGGTGATTGGTTCTTTTTTTTGTGGCATCTCTTGTTATTAGGAATGCAAAGCATTTAAAATCCAACATTATGAATTGTCACTGGAACAGCATTAGAGGGGACAGCTTCCAATAGTCACACTTTTTGTGGTGACAGCTGTCTAAGATGGTGCTATTGCTTACTTTGAATGGATCTCTTCTCACTCCATTGTGTCTGCGGGAAACCCAGCAGGGCTTTGCCCATTCTTTAATTCACTACTGTCTCCTACACTAGATTGAAAGGTTCTTGGATTTGTAATCCCCTGATTGTACGTTTCATTTTCTTCAGTTACTAAAGGATCGGTGATGCTTTGATTTGTTTTTGTGTGATGTCATCATGAATTTGAAGTTGCAAGAGTAAAGGATATGTAATGTGAATTAAACTTTATTATCCACTTTCACCTTCCAAATATTAGTTAGGCAAATTTACAGACTGAATAATTCATGCTATTGGTCTAATATCTCATTAGAAAATAAAGCTCACTATCTGTCAGATTATGGTTGTCAATATATTGACAAGGTAATGCTTGAAGGTGCTGAATTCATGATTGTTTCTCTTTTTTTGTGCCATTTTCCTTCTTTTAGACCCCAAATTGATTGCATTCTTGAAGTCAAAGAGTAAAGACCCAAGCACGCAGGGGGATTTGAGTGCCAGTAACACAACAGGTGGTCTCCAGACTGTCAGCTACGAATCTTCTGGTTCTGTTGCAAAGACGCAAGAATCTTCGGAGATTTCTGAAGAGGAAGAAGAAAATCAAACTGTTTTGTCAGGTAATCATTCACCATGATGACAGGACCTCTGCAGAGCTGATCAATAGCACTAAGTAGTGGGTATGAATTCAGTATAAGAAGTGAACACTTGAGTAATAGACCTTGTTTCCTGCATTCCTCTGTGCCTCCACTGTAATGGTCTTAATCATTATTATACCCATAAAAACTGAACATCTATAATATATTGTTACTGAACTATGTCAATAATTTACATCCATAACAGACATTATTCATTTATCAGTGATAGAGGATGTATTCCTTACTGCTGGTACATTACTTTGATCACAGAGTGTACAGTATACACTGGTAAGATAAATCAGCTAATTTTTGCCCTTGTGTAGGTTTGACGGCAAATGTCAGACTTCTTTATAAGTCTAAAGTGGAACTTCAAGCATTTCTGAACTCCCTTAAAGTAAACTGCTTCCAGAAATTTGGGGACTGCCATGGCTGACTCCCTTTTGAAAATGCTGCATGCATGGCTAATGTCATGATCAGCAGACTTTTTAGTAGTTTGAGTCACTGACCTAGAACAATTCTGCAGATCAAGAAAATTTGATTGGCCAGAAGGTCTTATTTGCATGCGTGTTTAATATGTACAGTGGATATAAAAAGTCTGCAAAAACTTGATGATGACTGTCTTCACTGTATTCCATGGTATATCGAATGCCTTGGAAATTCTTTTGTACCCTTCTCCTGACTGATACCTTTTAACAATGAGATCCCTCTGATGCTTTGGAAGCTGTCTGTGGACCATGGCTTTTGCTGTAAGATGCGACTAATGCAGGCCATAGACGGGTCGAAAATCGGCCGATTTTTCTTTAAAAAAACGAAAAATCGGTCGTTCAAGTGGCCGACGTTACTAGCAACGGTAAAAAAAAAATCGGCCGATTTTCATCCCGTCTACAGCCGGCAAAAAGTGTCCCTGCAGAGAGCTCCGCTATTTCTGACAGTTCTCTGACAGTTCCTTCACTTTTACAGCGGTTGAAACATTGTATCTATTTGTTTCCATTTAGGATACAGATGTTTTTTATTCGGAAACAAATAGATACATTGTTGCAACCGCTGTAAATGTCAGAGAACTGTCAGAAATGAAGAAGAAGAGGATGAAGAAGAAGAGGAATTCCAGTCCGGCAAAAAGTGTACCTGCAGAGAGCTCTGCTATTTCTTTGACAGTTCCTTGACATTTATAGCGGTTGCAACAATGTATCTATTTGTATCCATTTAGGATACAGATGGTTTTATTTGGAAACAAATAGATACATTGTTGCAACCGCTATAAATGTCAAGGAACTGTCAAAGAAATAGCAGAGTTCTCTGCAGGGACACTTTTTGCCGGACTGGAATTCCTCTTCTTCTTCATCCTCTTCTTCTTCATCCTCTTCTTCTTCATCCTCTCCCTCTTCTTCTTCTTCCTCTTCTTCTTCTTCCTCTTCTTCTTCTTCTTCTTCTTCCACTTCTTCTTCCTCTTCTTCTTCTTCCTCTTCTTCTTCTTCTTCCTCTTCTTCTTCTTCTTCCTCTTCTTCTTCTTCTTCTCTTCTTCTTCTTCTTCTCTTCTTCTTCCTCTTCCTCCTCTTCTTCTTCCTTCTCTCTTTCTTCTCCTCCTCTTCTTCTCCTCTTCTTCTTCCTCCTCTTCTTCTTCTTCCTCTTCTTCTTCTTCCTCTTCTTCTTCTGCTTGTTCTTCTTCTTTCTGCTTGTTCTTCTTCTTCTGCTGCTTTCTTCCGCTTCTTCTTCTTCCGCTTCTTCTTCTTCTGCTTCTTCTACTTCCGCTTCTTCTTCATCCTCTCCCTCTTCATCTTCCTCTTCTTCTTCTTCCTCTTCCTCATCCTCTTCCTCTTCCTCTTCTTCCTCATCCTCTTCTGCTTCTTCATCCTCTTCTGCTTCTGCTTCTTCTTCTTCTTCTTCCGCTTCTTCTTCATCCTCTTCTTCTTCATCATCCTCTTCTTCTTCATCCTCTTCTTCTTCTTCTTCATCCTCTTCTTCTTCATCCTCTTCTTCTTCTTCTTCATCCTCTTCTTCTTCATCCTCTCTTTCTTCTTCTTCATCCTCTTCTTCTTCATCCTCTTCTTCTTCTTCATCCTCTTCTTCATCCTCTTCTTCTTCTTCATCCTCTTCTTCTTCTTCCTCTTCCTCTTCATCCTCTTCTTCATCCTCCTCCTCTTCTTCATCCTCTTCTTCTTTTTTCTTCTTCTTTTTGTCTTCCTCTTGCAGGTCACTGCTCATGCGCAGATTTTTTTATTGGTAAAAGATCGGCCGATTTGCCCATTATTGCCGCGAAAATCGGCTGATTGGCAGAATCGGCCAATTTTTTTCCAACTCTACCAATAAAAAAAATCTGCCAAAATACCGAAAAACGGCCAAACAATTAGCCCACTAACAATCCAAAAATCAGCTGATTTTATTTTCGGCCGAAAAATCGGCCGATTTTCGACCCATCTATGGCCTGCATTAGAAACTGTCAGGAAAGACCTACTAGAACAGCTGAGCTTTGGGGTTAATCAAAGGCACTTTAAATGATGGCAGGTGTGTGCTGACTCATATTTAAGATGATTTTGAATGTGACTGCTTAATTCTGAACATGGCTACATCCCCAGTTATAAGGGTGTGCACACTTATGCAACCACATTATTTTAGTTTGCTCCCCCCCCCCCCCAAAAAAAAATTCAGTTTGTTTTTCAATTGAGTTGTACAGTTTATAGGTCACATTAAAGGTGGAAGAGTTCAGAAATGATTTCTCTTTGACTCATTTTTTTTACATCACAGAAACCTGACATTTTAACAGGGGTGTGTAGACTTTTTATATCCACTGTATATATAACCATTTTTTTATTTGTATAGAGTAGGGAGTGGTTATAATCAGCTTATTTTTTGCTACTTGGAAGATTTCCCTTGGCAGCAGAATGGTGCCACATCCAACAATATTGGTTTATTATTCAAAATGAAGAAAGAGTGCAGATTTTTAATGCTCCGGGTGCACAAAGCATAATTTATTAAAATAACCATTTATTACAAATATCCATTAAAATGATTTAATAAAATGTAGATGAGCATTTTATTCAATAATATTAATGAATATATATAATTAAATTGATTATTTGTGTGATTGCTTTGTTAAAAAAAAACGATTTTTTCTTAGTTCTGAACTTTGTGATATGTAGTCCATCCATCTATATGATCCATTCTAGTATGTTTATTACCAAAGCAGCCTGATTTTATTACCTTTGGTCATCAAATAAAAATAATAACCGTAATAATAATGAACAAGGAAAGAATGTAAGCAAAGGGAGAGCATTACCTGTGGGTGAGCAGGGAGACTAAATGTTGCTATGTGTGTTGTGTAAATAATCATGGCTTTGTTTCTTGTTCTCTGATTCTGTCTTGCAGTAGACCTTGCTACTTTTAGGTGTGTGGATGAAGAAATATGTGCAATTATTTAATTACACCCCGGTCACATCAAGCCCGACTTTGAAATCATGCAACTTACAGTGAAGTCGTACAATTTCAAAGTCGGGGGACATGCCAAATTCAGGTGCGCTTTGCAAGACATCTGACACAGATGTCTATGCAAATCGCACCAAAGTAGTGCATGTGCTACTTTAGAAATTGGCGCGGTTCCAACCAAGTCAGAACCGCACCGATATGACCAATGTAATTGTGGACAATAGGGTGTGAATTGGCATGCGATTTACAAGTCGCATGACAAGTCGCACCCATTGTGACCAGGGTCTTAGTGTGGTTTCACCTAGGCATGATTTATAAAAAAAAATAAAATTGTGGAACCCATGCTTTGCTGTTGTTTGTCATGCTTGAGAGACTCAAGTTATCACAGTGGTTCCCTTGGATCACACCAAATTTCTGAAAACTTTTTTTTTTCTTTTTTTTTTAATCAAAGAAAGTTTTATTGAGTATCTGACATATCAAGTATACAGCAAATCCAGAAATTCCTCTTACATATACAGCAGATGCCAGCAGGTACAGGAAGCAAACCAATTAGACATCCACGATATTGTATTAGTATTACAGATGTCAAGCTATTACATGAACACAACAGACTAGATACAATGCAAGTAATACAACAGCAGCTGAGAGCAGGGGACCGAGCCATGGCAAAGAGACATCTCATTGGGATACCCCATCAACTAATAAGAAGCCTGTCTAGGACCATATCCGGTGGACTCAGGCCCGGAGTACCTAGCCAGGGGCCCCACAGATCATCAAATTTATGGAAGCAGCCCCTATGCTTGTATATGTATTTCTCAAGCCAGAGTTTTTCACCCATGCACTGTACCTATTCTTTATGAGAGGGAGATTCAGACGACTTCCAATGCCGAAGTACAACTCTCCGAGCCTGGAAGAGAGCTCTAGCAACTGTCTCCTTAGTAAGAGTTGGTAATGGAAAGTCATCTTTCCATTATACACAATACCAAGGTTATCTGATATTGTCTGGTACCCTATCATGTCCCTAAACTGTGCCTGTGCTTTATTTTTTGTTGTTTTTTTTTTTTAGTTTGCAATATTACATATATTACATACAATCTCCTTCAGTAGCTGGTGAATGTTTGGATTTAAAAAATTTTGATGTGGTGCTTCAAATCTTTGATCCAACCATTTGCGCAGGTTTTTCCACAGAGATCCCTTGGTGTATGGAAGAAGCCCACACATTACCCAGATGTCCCTATATTTGTAGCAGAGCGTTGTGACAGTACCAGTCATAGATATGAAGTAGAATCAACTTGGGGTCCCAGCACCATTCACTCCACCATCTCACATGACTGTCATAGGAAAGGCAGAGATGTACAGTATTTGATATATGCACTTAGGTGGCAGTAGCTTTAAACACTGGCAAAAGAAGAAAAAAATCTTCAGCTGTTTTTGATAATATGTTTGGAAGGGAAAGGGAGAAGGAAATGAGCAAAAATAAGACAAAAATCAAAAGTCAGTGTCACAAACCAGTTGCAAAGCTGATTTGTCCACCTGTAATTCACCAGATATACAATCTGTTACTAGCTCCAAAGACATGAAGGTTGATTTGTTACCAGTAGCTGTTGTTACTTGGATCCCATAAAACATCAGGCATGCTGGAAGTTCCACAACTTAAATTTGAAGTCTTGGCTAATTCTGACTACACTTAAACCTGCTCTCACCCACATTCTAAGCCCTATACTAACTATCCTGTGCAGGAAAGATGTGTATACTCACCTAATCTAAGGGCCTTGTGGTCTGGTCACATAAGCCCCCCCAGCGGCTGGTTTCAGAGCGGCAACAAATAGCTGTGATGCCTGGGTGGTGACATCACCCATAGACTTACTATGGGGCATCTGTTGTTCTTTCCCCTGAAGCCGGAGCTGGGAGACAATTGCTTGACCAGACCGGAGCGCCCTTAGATTGGGTAAGTATACACATTTTTCCTCTACGGGGTAGTTGGTATAGGGCTTAGAATAAGTATGGGAGCTGGTTTAAGCTCAGATAGCATTAGCCTGGACTTCTTTTAAAGTGGCACACAAGTCTAAATGTTTTTTTAACCTAGGGCTATTTCACACCACAAGAACGCAGTCCAGATCCATTCCGGGTGCCTTTCTGCATGCAGGTTTTTTATGCATTCCTGTGCAGGTTTTTTGCATTCTTGATGCGCTTTTGAAGCGTTTCCGGATGCATTCCAGGTCATTTTTTTCTTTGTATTTTTTTTTTTCACACTGCACTGGTGTCCAGTGTGTTTTTTATGCGTTTTTACCATGTTCCAGTGCAGTTCAGTTCCGTGCAGGAAAAAAGCAGCATGTTCTGCTTTTTTTTCTTTTTTTTTCTGGCACCAAAACACACTGGAACTGCAAGCATGGTGTGAACTATCCCACTGAAAACCATGTAACCTACTATGCATTTTGGATACAGAAAAAAGCACTGGAATGCATGTGGTGTGAACTAGCTCTTAATGCATTCTCTTGAACATGGATAGCTGGAGTTTTCCTTACACTAGCTGTGTGTTGGAGCTCTGCAGAGAGACCACTGTTTTCAACACAGAGAACAAGGGTCTTTATCTGCAGCATGAAGGCAGGGGCAGGCTTCTCTACCCAGGATGTGAGGATTAGGCTGCTTTCTAAAAAATGATCAATAAGACTTTGCGTACCTTTTTGTTTTGATGCACCTAGAATGTATATAGCTGATTTAAACTGAAAGTTTGGCATTAAAAATTGCCTGGTAAACCAAACCATTACTAACAAGGTATACACTGTTACTCTTATATTCCATTCCCATCAGCGGTTCATAATTTGTAGATATTCATATAGGTAAGTTACATTGATGCGACCGTAAACTCAGCACCTTTGCTTTGAAAGTGAACTGCAAAACCTGTGAACTGTTGGTGAGACTTGATAATGGGATAGATACACTCTTTGTAGCCCCAGTGCATATAGAGTACTTGTGGGCTCAATGATCCCTCTCTCCACCCTGGAACAGTTGCCTCTAAATGGATGTCACTTTGCTTCCACACTCTGGTGGGAATACCCGCAATACTGATAATGATTGCTCTGTATAGTCACTTGTAATCTGGTAGAATCTCACCTTTCATATTGCAGGAAACCCTCACACTTTTTTTTGGCAAATTTGTGAAGTTTTGCACATTTCTGTGTGCCCCTGCCTTGCTGAATTCATGCTGGGGTGTAATCTACTTAATAGAAAAACACATTATTCATTATGGACGGTACAGCACTTTGTGCAGTTATTTGAAGGCTTTTTGCTTAGAAGGAACTCACATGTGTGTTTTTTTTCCTCTAAATATCGTCTTATTTATGCTCTTTTTGGCAGTAATGCAGAGATAAAACAATAACTCTAATCCCATAACAAGAACATCAAGGACATATTTTTTTGCAGAACAGAGAAGACAAGCCAGGATTTGCATCCAACTGTTTTTGTTGTTAGGTCATAAATTGCTAAGAGGCTCCAAATGTTGACAACCTTTAGCGTCACAACCGTTTTCAATTAGAACCAATCTGATAAAAATCTTTTCATGCATACAATGAAACAACAAAAGCCTTATTGCTGTCACATCCTGTGGCATCTCTTTTCTTTTATTTTGTTAAAGAGATGTATTTAATCAGTCCCAAAGGAACCAGGCATGGAACATTTGTATAGTTTAGAATAATATTTTATTACATATTCACATGCTGATTTAAAGTAAATCGTCTTATAAAAGAATGTCAATGGTTTAAATACTTTATGTGTTCTGTGTATTTTATACACAGTATGTACAATGGGGCAGCAGTATTTTATCATTACATGTGATGGCTCTGTTTCCTGCTTATTTATGGTACTAAACCCACAAACACGATGGGGTTTATTTACTAAAGCTGGAGAGTCCAAAATCAGACTCCCTTCTGCATAGAAACCAATCAGCTTCTAACCTCAGCTTGTTCAATGAAGCTTTGGCAATGAAACCTGGAAGCTGATTGGTTTCTATGCAGAAGTGAGTCTGATTTTGCACTCTCCAGCTTTAGTAAATAAACCCCGATATGTCTGCCGCAACTGCAGCCCCATTGATCTCATTGGGTGAGTTTGACAGGCGGAGCCATTTGTCAAAATCTGCAGCCTGAGTTCAAATGCTTAAGCTGTAAAGCAAAGCATTTTGGTATATGTACAGCTTTGTCAGGCTGTAATGTTAAAATCCCGGTAAGTGCCAATGGGAGGGTAGGATGTGGCGGTACAGCTGTAGCTCTGCCATCTGTTTAAACTGTCCCCTTATCTGCATGCACATGTGACAGAGCCCTAAAAGTCAGAAACAATGTACTTTACACTGCCTAGGATTTATATGACATGAAGTAGCTGTAGTGTTTAAGTAGTTTACTTTAGATTTTTATGAAACGGGGTTCTCCTTGACAGTGCAGGGATATGACATTATATTGCCTGACACCCGGGACATGTAGTTCTGGGTGCCGGGCAGGTCGTTTTTTTTTTTTTTTTTTTCTACATGCAGGGTTTGTAAGGTGGAAGCATTTGGGCGCTGCCACCTGATTGCTTCCACACACTGAGCTAAAGTGCCAATACCCGCAACCCCCCATTCACTTTCCCCCCTGCTATGCAGATTGGCCTCTGCTTGCCTTGTTTACGGGCCCAGGACCAGCATAGCAGTTGCCAACTGGTAGAGGGAAGGGAGGAGAGTGGACACACGTTCGCTCTCCTCCCCTTCTTGTCCTGACCTAGAAGCAAAGTGTATGATGTCACTTCTGGGTTCCCTTTGACAGATTTCCTGGCCATCAAGGAGGGGAAAGAATGTAATGCAGTGCGATCTACACTGCATTACATTCAATAGAGCACAGGGGAGAGAGAACCTGTCACCAAAAAATTGCCACATAGGGGACTTTTAGATGAAAAAAAAGTTATGTAAACATTATTTTTTTTTAATTGTAAAAAATTACTAAGTTACACCCAAGCACGTAAATCCCCCCTCCCCCCACAAAAAATGTTATTTGAGGCCCCCCGCACATATACACACACATACAAACATAAACGTACTCATTGGGGCACCAATGCAAATGTAAATTGTGATACACCTTACATATCGCTGCGCACGCTGGAATGAGAGCAATAATTCCAGCACCAGACCTCCTCAGTAACACTAAACTGAAGACCTGTAGGAGTCTTTAAAAGCATCGCCTATAGAAAATATAGGGTACTAAAGTTATGCATATTTAAGGTTTGACATGTTTGGTATCTATTTACTCAGTGTATCCTCATCTTTTATATTTTAACAAAAAATTGGGTAATTCGGTAATTTGGTGCTGGAGACAGGCAAGGAGGTGAGGAGAAGAAAAAGCACAATGCTAAAAATATTAAAAGTTTAAGTCGCCATAAAGCCTTTTCATTTTTAAAAGCCCAAAACATTCCTAAAAGCACCTCTAGATTTACATATGCTTTGGTTAAAATTCCATTTTTTTTTTTTTTATCAGGACAAGTAGATTGTCATGAGGGAAAAGTAGATTGGGACCCAGATTTAGTCCCTGGACAAGTAGTTTTTTCAAACATTTCCACACCGCTGGGCAATCATCTGGAACTACCAATTCACTTTATTAATCGTGTATTAAATAATTACTTTTACATTTGAGCTTTGTATGGATTTTGTGTTAGTGTTATTTCATGCATTTCGATTTTTCTTTAAAGTAATATTGATTTGGAATAGTGTGGTTTGCTGGGATCATGGTTTATCGGTTTATTGTTCAATTAGTACCTCTTCTGAGGTCTCAAGGGTTAACTCTGTTTGTAGTCTTTAAGTCCTCATGCACACTAGATGTTTTTACAGCTGCTGTTTTTGCTTTTGACATTTTTTGATGTTTTTTTTCTACACCTAGTAAACCCCCCAGCATGTTATCCTATGTGTCCATGCACACATAGACTGTAATCAACGTTTTTTGGCAAGGACATTTTTTGGCTGGAAAAACCCCCCAGAACTAGTAGGTTTCTAGAGGAGTTTTTCAGCTGTAAAAATACTCTATCGCTGAAAAATGCGGTAAATCGTGGTAAAACACACGCAAACCGGCGATTTTGGATGTTTTTTTTGAGCAAAAAAAATTTTCTTGGTAACAAAAAACCCGCTAAAAAACCGAAAACTAAGCTAAAAGCTAATGTAAAAAGGCTAAAAAAAGCTGAAAAGCTGATGTTTTTAACGTGACTTTACACAGCTAACGTTACCAGCGTTATCAAAACGCCTTAAAGTGTTTATATTCATGACCTCCTGTGATACATTTGTACTGAATGTATTTATTTATTTTATTATAGCTGCTGATCTTCCAGTGAAGCCTCAAAAGGAATGGGTACACATGGAAACAGTGGAGTTTGAGAAACTCGAGTGGATGAAGGATCTGCCGCAAACTCGGCAAAAGAAAACAAAAAAGGTATTTTACGAATATTTTGCATCTGTTTTATGCTCACGGCCCAGTTTATTGACAAAATAAATCCAAGAAAACCCCATGCCCTTGAAATACTGCTGTATTACCTTAGAATGTAGTTGAGTCTTTTTGAACTGATGTAAAATCTACATAAAAACAGAATGCAATAATATGCATATCTCATAAACCCATATTTTGTTCACAATAGAAAAAAAAAAGGCATATTAAATATTTCAACTGAGGAAATGTACCATTTTAAGAAAAAAATTAGGTAATTTTGAAATTTGAAGGGTAGCAGCGTGTCTCAAAAAATTTGGGACAGGACCACGTTTACCTTGGTGTAGCATCCCCTCTACTTTAACACTTTGTAAACGTTTGGGAACTGAGGAGACCCATTGCTGCAGTTTTTTTTTTTGGGGGGGGGGTGAATGTTGTCCCATTTTTGCTTGATATAGGATTCTAACTGCTCAAAAATCCTAGATCTTCGTATTTTTTGTTTTAAGATGCTCCAAATATTTTTAATTGGGCAAAGGTCTGGACTGCAGGCAGGCCAGTTAAGCTCCCGGACTCTACTACGAAGCCATTCTAGTGTCATAGATGCAGTATGTGGTTTAGCATTGTTCTACTGAAACATGCAAGGTGTTCCCTGAAAAAGACGTAGTCTGGATGGGAGCATATGCTGCTCTAAAACGCATTGATGGTGCCTTTCCGCATTGATAAAAAGCATTGATGGTGCCTTTCCAGATGTGCAAGCTGCCCATTCCCTACTCACTGATGCATCTTTATTCCATCAATGATGCAGGCTTTTGAACTGAGTGCTGATAACAAGCCGAAAGGTTTTTTTCCTCTTTAGTCCGAAGGATGCAAAAAGAATGTCAAATTTTGATTTTTCTGATCACAAAACAGGTTTCCACTTTGCAACCAACCATTTTAAATGAACTTTGGCCCAGAAAAGATAGGGGCTTTCTTGATCATGTTCAGATATGGCTTCTTCTCTGCATGATAAAAGCTTTAACTTGCCTTTTTGGATTGTACAGTAAACTGTGTTTACAAACGGTGATTTTTAGAAGTATTTCTGAGCCCATGCATTGATGTCCATCACAGAATCATGCCTGTTTTTAATGCAGTGCCATCTGAGGGCCTGAAGATCACGGCCATCCAATATTGAGTTTTGGCCTTGTCCCTTGCATACGGATTTCTCCAGATTCTCCGAAAGGATATTATGCACTGTAGATGATATATTTAAAGCCTTTGCAGTTTATGTTGAGGAACATTATTCTGACATTGTTCGACAATTTTTAGATGCAGCTTTTCAAAGATTGGTGAACCTCTGCTCATCTTTACTTCAGAGATACTCTGAGACCTGGTTCACACATGTGCGATTTTTAGTGCATTTTGCAGAATTGCACTTTATTTTACATGGTTTCCTGTGGGACACGTTCACATTTATGCATTTTTCAGCCACTGTGTTTTTGGAAAGGGTCAGTGTCTTTTTAAAGCGCTACACAGTGCGTTTTTGGTTCTATAGACTTCAATGGACACACGGCAGAAACACATATAGTGTGTTTTTGATGCGTTTTGCTTTTTGTTTTTTTTTTGTTTATGCCAATAAGAAAGTATTGACCTTGATGCCACTGTTATGTGACTCTGGATGGGTGCGCCTTTTATGCAACTTTTTTTTTTTTTTTTTGCTAATAGGAAAGTATGACAGTTCTATTCATGTAGTGCGACTGTACACTATCTGGCACTCAAGCAGCATCAAAGTCTCATCCAAGCCACACCAATCCAAAGTTGCATCAAAGTCACACCCATCCAAAGTCGCATCCAACTCATACTTATCCAAAGTTGCACCCATGGAAAATTGTACTAAAGTTGTACCCATCCAAAGTCGCATCTAAGTGGCATAAAAGTCAAAACAGCATGAAAAACGTGTGTTCGAAAATGCAAAACGCATCGATCGCAACACACAGGGTTGTGAACCTAGCCTGAATTCCTGCGATGGCCTTTTTATACCCAGTCACGTTACTGCTCTGTTGCCAATTAGTTGCAAAATGTTCTTCCAGCTATTCCTTGTTAGTACCCTACTTTTCCAGCTTTGTATTGCCCTGTCCCAACATTTTGAGACGTTTTGCTGCCATCAATATTTACATTATCATCTTTGTTTCTTAAAATGTCACATGTTCTCAGTCTAAACATTTTATGTTTTTTCTATTTTCTATTGTGGATAAAATATGGGTTTATGAGATTTGCAAATCATTGCATTCTGTTCTTATGTAGATTTTACATAGGGTCCTAACTGCTCTGTACAGTGGTATTGCACAGAGCGGCCTCTTACCTCTTCTGGGGTCCCCCCTGCTGATGATCTCTGTTCCTCCTCTACTCCGAGTGCCTCTGTAGCAAGCTGTGTGCTGAAGAGGACACTCGTGTGGGCGTGCTCCTCAGCTGGGCTGTGTGCATTATGCAGATCTGGGATATGTACTCCATTTGGCCAACTTTAACAGGTCCCTGTCTTAATAATTAGTGTTACCTATACATAGTGAACAATGTTGTTTTAAACATTAGCAGTCGTTGGTAACACTATACATGAAGCTAATTTCTTTACGTGTATATATAAAAATGTACTAAACAATATTACACTATCATTAACTGTACCGATCACGGCTCCAGCAATATGGCGCCCCTGAGCTCCCTGCCCAGCTGGCTTCCGGGTCCCGATTGCTGGGTGCTTTCATTGACCGGGCAGGGATAGGTGTCACTCCCGTGCATTTCCAGTCAGACTCCGCATTGACGAATTTGCTCCCTTTACAAGGACAGACAGGCAGGTAAGTAAGTTTCTGCCTGTTTGCCCTGTTTTACTTTTGAACCTAAAGTGTCACTTTAAGTTGGAGCCCTGGAGGACAGTTGGGTGAGCAAGATTTCAGTTATAAAACAGTGATATACGAGCGCTGGGTAATATATAAAGCATCAAACAGGATAAGCAGCCAGCAAAGTGAGAGGAAATACCTTAAATCCTCCAATAATATACAAATAATCAATAAAAAATGCAGCGCTAAAATATACAGATTATAAAATAAAAAATATATAAAAAATAAATAAAAGTCTTAAATATAATAAAAAAGGTGCAATGTGATAATCGTGGTTCATTAGATAGCTGTTGAGGTATCGTGACTTCCGAGGCTTGTGGAGAATGAGTATACAATGCACTAACCAGATAGCACAAAAACATGTGCGTTGGAGTAAATAAGACCTACTCCAAGGTACTCTGGAAGCGGGAACTCTGTGAACAGGCGAAGTCGTCAGGTGGAGTTGAGTCACCAGACGTCATCAGACCAGGGCAGATTTCCTCATTCCAGTATAGTGTAAAATCATCATATTAGATGCATCTTGTGGTACGGATTTCAGCCACCGGGGGGATCATACACTTCAGTGTGAGTCGCCTAATAGAGTGCACCTTGAAGGAGGGGGGGGCTCAAAATATCAAAAAAATGAGCCCAGAAGAGAGAAAAAAACTCCAATAGTGTAGTATTTATTAGACAAATGGAGTTTCAACTATAATCCAGATAAAAAACGGACACTTACATCCAAGAGTAAACAGAGTAGCATAACAGGTCAGTAATCCATGTACAACGCGTTTCGTGTAATCACACATTATCATTATCTCCCTTTGATAATGTGTGATTACACGAAACGTGTCAGGAGACCCCCCTGTACATGGATTACTGACCTGTTATGCTACTCTGTTTACTCTTGGATGTAAGTGTCCGTTTTTTACCTGATTATAGTTGAAACTCCATTTGTCTAATAAATACTACACTATTGGAGTTTTTTCTCTCTTCTGGGCTAATTTTTTTGATATTTTGAGCCCCCCCCCTTCAAGGTGCACTCTATTAGGCGACTCACACTTAAGTGTATTATCCCCCCGATGGCTGAAATCCGTACCACAAGATGACGACTTCGCCTGTTCGCAGAGTTCCCGCTTCCAGAGTACCTTGGAGTAGGTCTTATTTACTCCAACGCACAAGATTTTGTGCTATCTGGTTAGTGCATTGTATACTCATTCTCCACAAGCCTCGGAAGTCACGATAACTCAACAGCTATCTAATGAACCACGGTTATCACATTGCACCTTTTTTATTATATTTAAGACTTTTATTTTTTATATATTTTTTTATTTTATAATCTGTATATTTTAGCGCAGCATTTTTTATTGATTATTTGTAAGATTTCAGTAATCACTGGTTCAGCTAGCTCAGAACACTCTGGAGAAATTGGAATGCTTTTTGGAAAGTTTAATTGTGACGTATGATTTGAGAATCCTTCTGCAGTGCTAACATTGCACAATTGTAGGAGCGTGGGTGGGAGATGCAGCTTCAAGGGTTGCTTCTAAATAATCTGTGCAGAGCAAAGTCCTAATCATCCAGTACATTGGCTCCGGTAAGACAGCGATCAAGCACAAAATGAACTTTAAGGCATTTTGGAGAGAATCCAGAAGCTGTGGGAAAACAGAAGAAACTACATCAGTCGTTTTGGATTTGAAAAATATTCCATCATAGAGATCCAAGTCAGCGAGTTGGAGGACAGGATTAAATAAATATTTTTCAGATTACAAAATCATTGGTGCAGTGCTGATTTTGCTACACTTTTGTGAAATGCATTAGTCACACATGTCATTGAGCAATATGTTGATTTTTTAGGTGTTCGTATATAAAACCTGTGTGCTTATGCAATATGGAAGCTGTCATGGCTGACATATTTTTTAAAGTAAATGGCTCAATGGGCTTGATTTTAAAAGCCCAGCAGCATCTTATCTGGGAAGGATAAACTGAGAGTCTAAAATGTCTTTTAATGGTGATGGGGGTGGAAACCTGGGCCCCTTCTAGCTTTCAGTTTCTTGACTTAAGCCAAGGCATTTGTTCTTCAGTTTTTGCTAAAGACAAAGGTCACTGTTCAAGCAGAACCTGCTTATTGGCCATCTCTGAGTGTTTGTCAGAAACCATGCGTCTAGTTCTAGGGCATTGGTCACATGACTGCCTGCTGAAGTGATTCTAGATTCCTGTTTTTCCCAGAAAAGGAGTTTAGATTTATTTACCATTTCCTTGTATGTTGCAGCCAGATTGTTTATAATATTTAAGCATTGATCCTCTTTAATTTATCTACATGCAAAGTAACAGTCTGCATTGCAATTGACTTTACAAATTACAATATAGCAGAAAAGTACATTGGAAATTGATTCCAAAAAAGGATATATAATATTTTTACAATCCTTTTAAGTGGGTTTTCAAGTGTTTGAAAGGTTCTAAACGTTCCAGAAGTAGTAGATTGGGTTGAATCAGGTTTTATCTTGCTTTCTTAGTGAGTATGTTTTTAGCATGGATGTTGGATTTGTGGGAGAATGCTCTTTGTATTTTGCCTTATACTGAATTTTTTTTTTTTTCACTTTTCTCATATAACACTGGCCGATTATATTTTTATAGGGTATGCAGGCTCGATTCAGTCTAAAGGGAGATCTGTTACCTCCAGATAAAGAGATTCCTACACATTTGGGTCTACACCACCATGGAGAGGAGGCAGAGGTGAGCTGAAATTCAGTTGTGCACATTGTACTGCATATTTGACTTTGAACAAAAACAAACAGGGGCGCACTCCCATCTTGCATTAACGTGGTACTCCTGTAGACCTGGTCTACATTTTAGCTCTGAGGAAGGGGGCTCGTCTCCCGAAACGCGTTAGTCCATCCCTTACAAAGTGTTTGAATCCATTGGACTGTCCTTACGGATCACCTGTTCTCTTTTTATATCTTTTGGTTTGTGAGTATTTATCTATAATTGTTCAATAAATATGTGGTGTACCACGTTAATGCACGATGGGAGTGCGCCCTTGTTTGTTTTTGTTCACCATCACCTAGATTTCCTGATCTCTGAAGGGCTGCACCTCAGCGTTTGGCATTCAGAATCTCCTTAGTCTGCATGAAGATTTGAGCGCTGGTTTCGTTTTGTTCTTTTGGATGCATATTTGACTTCACTAACAACATTTGTTGATCTATAGCTAGATTTTGCTGTCACAAAAAAAAGAAAATCATCTAGCATTTTTTAAGAAATTAATAATTTATTGACATTTATTCAGGTCATGTGACCTGCAGCAAAAGCTAAAACTGTTTGGGTATCTTTTAGGCCAGGGGTTTTTAATTAAAATTCATGGAGGCCTGATCAGTAAAATTTTCTTTCAGATGTCCGAATCGCATGTTTGTGTGATGACAAAGATCTTCACATCCCAGCTCTTCTTCACATCACCCCCAACCCCCCCCCCCCCCCACACACACACACACACACACACACACACTTTTCAAAGCCCCTTCGTATCACCCACAGTAGTGTCCTTTGCCCCCCTCTCATCACCCCCTAATAATGTCCTCTGCCTCCCTTCACATCACCCCTCCCCCACATTAGTGTCCTCTGCCCCCCTTTTGTAGAGAATTCCTCTCATTTCTTCCTTTGTCTCTGGAATATGAGGCACATGGTAGTTTATTCTTTATGAATGGGCTGCCAACACACCACATCCATGGAAAAAAAAAATTTTCATGACCTACAATGAATAGTACCGTAATGCACATAGAGCAGGTTGCCATGTGCTGTGATAACAGAAGTTAATGTGGGCATTGCTACAAAGCGCAAGTGTGAATGGGCCTTCAATTTTTTTCAAGGAATAGCGATCCCCACACAAGCCTACTTCCTACTAACCTTACTTTCTATTACAAGTCTGGATTGTAATTTTTTCCCATTGTTCTTTTTTTTTTTCCCCCCCGAAGAGAGCTGGTTATTCGCTTCAGGAACTCTTCCATCTTTCTCGCAGCCAGTTCATTCAGCAAAGGACTTTATCATTGCAAGTTTTGGGCCGCATTGTGAAGAAGGTAAGGGAAAGTAAAAGAAAAAATACAGGAATATTTTTATGAACTGACATATTACTTTATTATTTGTATAAAGTATATATTAAATTTAAAATGAGTTTTTTTTATGCATTTGTGTGTATATTACATAAAGGGCTGTCTAAATATGAACAGTCTCCTGTTTTTATGTAAGACCAAAATATATTAAAAAAAAAAAAACCTAGTATGTTGCTGAAACATCAAATCACATTAACAAATAAAAAAAAAAATCAAGCTATGTGTCCAAAAAAAGTTACAATAAAAGCTAAGAGGCTGCCACCAACACAGTGAAGTGCTCCCAGCACTAATCAATAAACCATAAATGTATAATATGTAGCGCTGCCTCAAAATAAAATAAATATTGTGTAAAATGTGATAAAGCTAAATAAATGTAATATCAACAAAATCAGTGCTGTGAAATGAATCAAATATATAAATAACATAAAACAAGTTAAATCAAGTACTGCATAATCCTAACTCTGCCTGCAATAATATGACCCAGCATACTGTGAGTTACCAGCTATAACAAACTCCGTGCTATATGTGATCATTAATTAAGTGTTCTTGCATGGCAAGACCACTTACTGTTATCTCACATATATATTCTTATTATTATAGCCAAATTTACCACCCTAACTCCTCCCACAGTTTTTACACTACATAGACAGTAATATACCGAAATGTGCGGATTGTTCCCGATTGGTGTGCTATTACTTTGTGGAACATTTCGCCGAATGGTTCATGAAATATCGGCGTTACTTGGGAAATTGGTCCCATAGGAATGAATGGCAAATTATTCAAAACTAGTGTGGGAGCTGACAAAAGCTAGAGTGTGAGCTGAAAAATCAGGACATGATTTCTAAACTGCATCACTCCCTCATTTTCAAGCCCACCTACACAAATCTTATATCAAAACGTTCAGCTATCCCTGCTGCCACTAAAAATATACACGTCTAAGCCATAGTTCTGATAGTTTTCACAATATGACCATTTGTTTGCAACTCATGCCTCCCATTGACATTCATTGAAACTCCACTCTAGCCAGATTTGAAGGGCAATTTCTAAACTGCGACTGTGCCTTCATTTTTAATATTTCAGAGACATACTATGCATCACAATGTAGGTCTCGGTCTTGTGATTCTCACAATATAAAGCTCTTCAGTGTAGGATTTATAATTTTTAAACTACAACTGTTTGAAGATGGCAACCACCAGTGAAGTGAGCAAGTTGGAGCAGTTTTTTTTTAACCACTCTTCTCTGCCCTTGCTGTAGAGGGAGTTGCCATAGGAACCCAGGTGCGTGAGCAGGCAGCAGAGTGACAAAAGCTAGAGTGTGAGTTGTAGACTACTGGTGGAGGCAAGAACACTTCACACAATTTCCCCAGAGATTGTAGCTTTTCTAGTTAATAAAGTGCAGTGCATATATTAAAGTCCATATCATTCTGTTCTCCTTGCATTTGTAACCACAACACCGGTGCTGCTGGGTTTGTTATAGCTGTTTACTCACAGTATGATGGGTCATATTGTGGCATGAAGAGTTGGGATTACTTCAGCACTTGATTACCTTGTTGTTTTATTTTATTGATATATTTTATTCATTTCACAGCACTTTTTTTGTTGATATTAAATTTTAGTATTATCACTTTTTACACAATATTTGTTATATTATTGTGAAGCAGCGCTACACATTTACACATTTATAGTCTTATTGTTTTATGTAGACCAGGGTTCTTCTTTAGCCCTGGTTCACACTGATGCGGCACGGAATTCTCAGTGTTTTCTGTGCGAATTCCGCACTGCATCAGAATCGCACCCCGTTAATGTGAACCGCTGCAGGTGTGTACGTTAACACCTTGAAAGTGGTCTGCGATGTGCAGAATCAGATCACATAGGTGTGAATACCCATGCAATCTGATTCTAGTGTGGACCCAAAAAAAGGTCCTGCACCTTTTTGGTGTGGTGCGATTAGAGCCATATGAAATGCATGGCTCCAATCGCACAACGCACAAATCGAATGTGATTTGCACAGGAATGCGGTGCGGTTCCTTTCCGAATCACATGCTGTATGCCGCACCGCGTATATGCGAACCCAGGCTTAATAGTTTTACCATTTGATTGTAGTGACCTTTCTCACAATAGGGCAAGAATTATCTTTTGATTCCTGCTTTGACATCACTGAAATGAACAGGAATTGTTAATTACTGATCAGTGTGTGCTCTCTGCTATCTTCTAGGCTGAGCAAGGAGAGTTTGCCTCTGTCCTAAAGGGAAGTGTTCTTCGTTTGCTTCTGGATGCCGGATTCCTCTTTCTGCTGCGCTTTTCTATAGATGATAACATAGACAATGTCATTTCTGCATCTGTTAGCGCTTTTCATGCTTTACTGGTGTCCCCAGAAGATGAGGTACATTTTTTTAAATTGTTAGAATCATTTTATTGAGGAATGTTTACAAAAGATAAAAACAGAGCACTGTGTGAATGTTTTATGCATTAAATCACATTGGCTTTATGAGGTCATAAAACAGGCATGCACCTGTGTTGTACTGCCAAAGAATAAGAGCTAACCTCATTACACCATTATACATTTAGTACCATCACATCTACATTTGTAAGACACAGAAAGAAATCCTGGCTTTTTTGTAATGTATAAACACTTAAAAAAAGATAATGAATGCAACACTTAAGTTTATACAACGTTTATGTAAAACCATGAATGATTATGGAATTATTTTTTTTACAGTTTGCCCTCCAGAAGGTTTTTCCTTCTTCATGACCAGGACATTTTTTTGCTATTCAGCACTGTGCTACTTTAAGTGCTTAATGCGCGGTCATGCAACACTGTACCCAAATCAAATTTATATAATTTTTTCACACAAATAGAGCCTTCTTTTGGCGGAATTTATATTTTTTATATTTTTGCTTTATAAAAGTAAAAAGACCAAAAATTTTGAAAAAAAAATGGTTTTCTTAATTACTGTTAGAAAATTTTGCTAAAGATTAATCTTTCTTTATAAATTTAGGTATTCTGCTACGTTTTTTGGTAAAGATAACCCACTCAGTGTATATTATTTAGTCTGAGTGAAAGTTATAGAGTCTACAAACTATGGTATGTATATCTGAAAATTGATTAGTTCGGATATACTGATGGCCAATCTCATTTCTCAAGGCCCTAAAATGCTAGGTCAGTACAAATACCCCCCAAATGACCCCTTTCTGGAAAGGTATTTAGTAAGAAGCATAGCCAATTTTTTGAAGCTGTAATTTTTTTTTCACAGTTTTTTTGGAAAATGAAGAAATTAAATAACTTTTTTTTTCACAGCTTTTGTTGCAGTACAACGTCATCATATGACTGGTGTTTCAGTGATCAGGGATACTGACTGGTAGGGATGCACCAATATCTGTTTTTTTTTTTATCTATGAATACCGATACGTGTGCTCAAGTACTCGCCGATACCAATTACTTATACCTTTGCGGTGCAATTTGGGCCCATACAAAATAAATGGGCTCAAATCGCACTGCAAAGAATTGCATGTAATTTAAATAGGAATGCTGTGCGATTCCTGTTCGATTCACATGCGGTTTCCCACACTGCTGCTGTGTGAACCCAGGATGAAATCACTGACGAGCCTGGGTTTACACAGGAACTGTGGGGTAAATCGCATGCGATTCAGACAGAAATCGCATGCGATTCAGACAGGAATCGCACCACATTCCTGTTCAAATCACACATTCTTTGCAGTGCGATTTGAGCCCATTCATTTTGTATGGGCTCAAATTGCACTGCAAAGGTATCGGTTTTAGGTATCGGAGCATTTTCATGAGTACCAGTACTCATGCAAATGCTTAGTATCAGCACTGATTCCAGTATTGGTGCAACCCTACTGACTGCTAACAGTATGTTAAAAAAAATATATATAAATAAAGTTTTTTTTGGATACTGTTATTGCTTATACACTGATGGTCAATGTATAAGAAGTAGTTTTAGCTGTCATAGATGAGTTAACATTCATGAACAGCTTGCTTATGGTTGTGATTTGTGATTGGCTGCAGCTAATCACATGGTACACATAGCCAGGTACCATTTGATTGTTGTGGGCCAATCACAGATCACAACTGTAAGCAACCTGTTCATGAATCAAAATCCATTCATGATCGCTTGTTTACATTATTATATGATTGCTATTTCCAGTCATAGCGATTACCTGATACCCGGTTACGGGTAATTGTAATCCACTGTGTCTGGTGGACACAGCGGTCACAGGAGCAGCGCGCAATGGCGTACATGTACGTGATCTCAACCTGTTCGTGCCGCCGACCCGCAGTAAATGTACTGTGGTTGGCCGGGAAGTTAATTTGTGCTTTATTTTTGCCACTAGTTGTCATTAATCTTCCAGCTTAAATTACATGCAACATCTATTAAATGAGAAGTATAGACAAAGCTCTTGTGGCCATAGTTCTCTTCTGGGTCACAGGATTGCACTTGCAGTACTGTGCTCCCAGAATCAGCTGACAGCAGGCTAAAGGCCGCTGTCAGCTGATGTCACAGAGCCGCTCCAGGCAGTGTGAATTTTACCAGCCAGTGAAGGGTTTTCATATAAAAGCGATCTGGGCACCTCTAGAGCCCCCCAGTCACTTTTATGGGGCTCTGAAGTATGATCTGTGCTTGATTAGCTGCATTGGAGGGCTGGGGGGACCAATGATGCCTCTCTACCTGTCACCTGCCCAATGCTATACCATATGGGGCTTGATAGCCCCCTTGTGATAATAATGAAGGTAAATAAAAAAAAAACACACCATTTGTCTGCTTACATCTGTTTTTTGTCCATTCTGTTTTTATAATGGAACAAAAATAGGGCTTTTAATCTGTTTCAAAAAGGGGCGTTGGTGGATGCGGATGTAAACGGATAATCATTCATTCACATCTATTTTCCCAAATAGATGCATTCATGTTTGTTTTTCATGCGTCAACGGATAGATGAAAAACAGACAAACTATCTGCACATGTGAAAGGGGCCTAACTTGCCTCTTAAAACTTAATTTACACTCACTTTTCACATGAAGCTGATGAGATGATTGATAAATGAAAAGTAATTGTTATAAACGTAGTGTCTTCTATAGGTATCTATGAGCTTTTGTTGTGTTTCTTGTGCAGGAATACTTGGATGCTACTTTTTCATGGTACCAGGGAACAAAGTCATTCCCTTTCTTGCCTAATCAAGAGGAGGAGGAAGAGGAGGATGAAGATGTTGATAGTGATGAGTACTCTAATAGGATCACTGAAGGAGACAAGCAAAAAGCTAAAGAAGAAAAGAAATCTGATCCAGAAGTGGCACGTTATGATGCTATAAAGGTAATCGTTACGGGAATAAATGGATAAAGCCTTGTAGAAGTTTGCTCTTTAGACCGGGTTCACATATGTCTGGGGCCAGTTTTCAGTGCAATTTTTCAAAGCATTCCAGTGCGGTTATTTTCAGGTGTGTGTTTTTAAAGTGTATGACACTTGAAAACGCACCTGAACCGGACTGAAAATCATACCTGACTCTTTTTAAAAACACACTACGACTGGCCAGCACATATGTGAACTGGCTTCATAGAAAGCCGGTTTTGTTCACATGTCATCCGAATCTGATGTGGTTCAAAACGCATTCAGTTTGCACATAGGTGAACCGGGGCTAATGCAGGCCATAGATGGGTCGAAAATCGGCCGATTTTTCGGCCGAAAATAGAAATCGGCCGATTTTCGGATCGTTAGTGGGCGATTTGGTCGGCCGTTTTTCGGTATTTTGGCCGTTTTTTTTTTTTTCGGTAAAGTTGGAAAAAAATCGGCCGATTTTCGCGGCAATTAGTGGGCAAATCGGCCGATTTTTTACCGATAAAAAATCTGCGCATGAGCAGTGACCTGCAAGAGGAAGACAAAAAGAAGAAGAAGAGGAAGACGATGAAGAAGAGGATGAGGATGAAGAAGAAGAGAGAGGATGAGGATGAAGAAGAAGAAGAGGATGAGGATGAAGAAGAAGAGAATGGGGATGAAGAAGAAGAAGAAGAGGATGAGGATGAAGAAGAGGATGATGATGAAGGTGAGGATGATGAAGAAGAAGAAGAAGAGGATGAGGAAGAAGAGGATGAGGATGAGGATGAAGAAGAGGATGAGGATAAAGAAGAAGAGGAAGATGAGGATGATGAAGAGGATGAAGAAGAGGATGAGGATGAAGAAGAGGATGAGGATGAAGATGAGGATGAAGAAGAAGAAGAGGATGAAGAAGAAGAAGAGGATGAGGATGAAGAAGAAGAAGAAGAAGTAGGATGAAAATAAGAAGAATTCCAGTCCAGCAAAAAGTGTCTCTGCAGAGAGCTCCGCTATTTCTGACAGTTCTCTGACAGTTCCTTGACATTTACAGCGGTTGAAACATTGTATCTATTTGTTTCCGAATAAAAACATCTGTATCCTAAATGGAAACAAATAGATACATTGTTGCAACTTCTATAAATGTCAAGGAACTGTCAGAGAACTGTCAAAGAAATAGCAGAGCTCTCTGCAGGGACACTTTTTGCCGGCTCTAGACGGGTAGAAAATCGGCCGATTTTTTTTTTACCATTGATGGTAACGTCGGCCACTTGAACAACCGATTTTTCGTTTTTTAAAAGAAAAATCTGCAGTTTTTCTCCCCATCTATGGCCTGCATTAGACACACACTATATTGGGACACCCCTCTAAATCATTGGATTCAGGTGTTCCAATCACCTCCATGGCCACAGGTGTATAAAATCAAACACCTAGGCATGCAGACTGCTTCTACAATCGTTTGTGAAAGAATGGGACGCTCTCAGGAGCTCAGTGAATTCAAGCGTGGTACTGTGATAGGTTGCCACTTGTGCAATAAGTCCCTCTGTGAAATTTCCTTGCTACTAAATTTTCCACAGTCATCTGTTAGTGGTGGTATAACCAAGTGAAAGCAACTGGGAGCAACAGTAACTCAGCCACAAAGTGGTAGACCACGTAAAATGACAGAACGAGGTCAGCGCATGCTGAAGCGCACAGTGTGCAGAAGTCGCTATCTGTCTGCCGAGTTAACAGATAAAGATCTCTAAATTCCGTGTGGCCTTAACACAACAACATGTGACCTAGTGACCAGGCCATTTTTTGCGTTACAGTGCTGTGTTACTTTAACTGACAATTGCATGGTCATGCAACGCTGCACCCAAATGAAATTTGCTTCCTTTTTTTCCCACAAATTGAGCTTTCTTTCAGTGGTATTTGATTGCCTATGCATTTTTTATTTTTTTTGCTATAAAAAATAAAAATGACTGACAATTTTGAGAAAAAAACATTATTTTTTACTTTTTCCAATTAAACATGTCCAGTAAAAATTTTTTAAAAAATCGAATTTCGTTATAAATTTATGTCAAAATTTATTCTGCTACATCTTTGCTAAAAAAAAATCCCAATACATGTAAATTGGTTTACGTGAAAATTATAGCATTACAAATGGCAGTATATATACTGGGATTTTTTTTTTTTTTTTTTTTACTAGTAATGGCAGCAATCAGCGACTTACAGTGGGATTGCGGAGGGCATTCTGACACTGTGGTGAACTGACTTGGTGTCACTGACATCCCCAGAGACACCAATACAGTGACCAGTGCTAAAAAAAAAAGCACTGACACTGTACTAATGGCACTGGGCAGGAAGGGGTTAACATGGACAATCAAAGGGTTAACTGTGTGCTGGGAGTGGTTTACTAGGGGCTGTGCCAGTGTGCTTCCCTGTAATCACACTGCTTTGGATGAGTGTGCTGTGCACAGCCATCCAAACCAGTGTGCCCGAGCTGACAGGGAGGAGAACTGTTAGTAAACAAAACCGTTCTCCTCCCTGTAGGTGATGCTTGGAAATCACCAAGCACCCCAGTAAAACACTCCCAGCACACAGTTAACCCTTTGATCGGCCCACATGTTAACCCCTTCCTGCCCAGTGCCATTAGTACAGTGTCAGTGCTTTTTTTTTTTTAGCACTGATCACTCTATTGGTGTCACTGGGGATGTCAGTGACACCAAGTCAATTTCCCCCCAGTGTCAGAATGCCCACCGCAGTCCCCGTTATAAGTCGCTGATCGCCGCCATTATTAGTAAAAAAAAAAAAAATTCCAGTATCTAATTAATTTACACGAATTGGGATTTTTTTTAGCAAAGACATGTCGCAGAATACATTTTGGGCTGAATCTATGACAAAATTTGATTTTTTAAAAAAAAAATTTTACTGGACATGTTAAATAGCAAAAATTCAAAAATATAGTTTTTTTTTCTCAAAAAAAAAAATGCACAGGCGATCAAATACCACCAAAAGAAGCTCAATTTGTGGGAAAAAAAAGGACGTACATTTCATATGGGTGCAGCGTTGCATGACCGCGCAATTGTCAGTTAACCGTTTCAATACCCTGCAATTTTACACCTTCCTGCCCAGGCCATTTTTCAGGTTTCAGCGCTCTCACACTTTGAATGACAATTGCGCGGTCATACAACACTGTACCCAAACTAAAATTTTATCATTTTCTTCACACAACTAGAGCTTTCTTTTGGTGGTATTTAATCACCGCTGGGGTTTTTATTTTTTGCTAAATTAACAAAAAAAGACCAAAAATTAAAAAAAAAAAAACACATTTTTCTTTGTTTCTGTTATAAAAGTTTACAAATAAATAATTGTTCTTCATAAATTTAGGCCGAGATGTATTCTACTACATGTCTTTGGTGAAAATAACCCAAATTAGGATGTATTTTTTAGTTTGTAGGAAAGTTATAGAGTTCACAAACTATGGTATAGATCTGAATATTGATCAATCCTGAAGTACTGACAGCCAATCTAATTTCTTGAGGTCCAAGAATGTCAGAATAGTACAGATATCCCCAAATGACATACTGTCACCAGTGCAGTACAGCGTCATCATATAACTGGCATGGCGGTGGACAGGGACACTGACTGGTGACAGTATGAAAAAAAATATATATATATTTTTTTTTTTAATTTTTTTAAATTTTTTTATTATATTTAATTTTTATCACATTTTTTTTTATTTTTTTAAGATTTTTTTTTCATATTTTACTATGACCAAAGTAGTACATTGTACTACTTTGGGGAAGTGATCAGTATTTTTTTTTTTTTTTACACAATTTGCTTATAGCAAAGAATTACTTTGCTATAAGCAAGCATTTACCTGAATGAAATCGATTCATTCAGCTTTTTTTTTTTTTTTTTTTGTGCTTAGCTGTAATTTGGTCACAGCTAATCACATGACATGTGCATGTGATTAGCTGTGACCATTCACAGCTAGGCACTAGTATACAATGGATGGCATCATGAATGAAGCCATCCATTGTATACAACTGTCATGTGACCTGCTGTGATTGGTCACAGCAGGTCACATGGTACCTGCAACGGGAGCCAGTACTCGGATCTGTCATCGGCCGTGTCCGAGGTGCACGGCCGGTGACAGATCGCACTGCTGCGCCGCTCTGCATTAGCGCAAAGGGCGCATGTGCGGGAGCACGCCAAATGGCATGTACCCGGAACAGAGAGACACTTCTGAAGCCGCCAAACGGCCATTGGCCGTGCGGCTAATGGTTAAAGTAACAAAGCGCCGTAACGCAAAAAATGGTCTGGTCAGGAAGGGGGGTAAATGCTCAGGAGGGCAAGGGGTTAAATAATACAAGTCCTTAGTTTCCATCTTGCGTATTTTTTTCAAAGTCACAAATTAATATATTACAACCGTGTGGGTCATACAACGATGCCTGTAAATCCAAAGTTTTCTTTAGCTTAGCACCGTACGTAGGAGGAAAAGGCACACATCATTTGACAGTCCACACATTCTGCTTTGGATTTAAAAATACATAAAAACAAAAAGTATCAACAATCTATATGAAAGAACAGAAAATCATCAGCCAGATCAAAAAAACTATTAAACAGCCGCAGCAGGTGGCATGTATCCTAACAGGATGTGTGGACTTGGTGAGATGGAGCTGTAATTTTATCTATTACTCTCACATCAATTTACTATAAGACTTTTAGATTTCTTTTCTTTTTTTAGAAACGTTCTCATGTATCCCGTCTATTTAGGCCATGTTAAGTGTTAGGGCAGCTGCAATATAACCACCTCATCTTAATCTAAAGAAACCACATATCCACCCTATTAGATTGTAAGCTCCTATGAGCCGGGCCCTCTTAATACTCTTGTTTTTTATTGTAAAAATACCGTCTCCCTTTAGATTGTAAAGCACTGTGCAAACGTGGTGCTATATAAATACTGTATAATAGTAATCATAATAATAATTGCAGATTTTCCCAATAACCTAACTTCCATTTCCAACTAAAGGTTGTCTAAACCAATAAAATATATCTATATAATTAATAAAATTGTAAACATCAGAAATGAATAATATAAAACAGTGCAGTGCTAGAAATGGTGAATGAGATCAAATAAAACGTCCATAGAGTCTATAAAATGTGCCAAGTAAATCTAATGGATGCTGGTGGTGCTCCGTGGGGAATGATAAAAATGCGCACTCACCAGAAATAAAATGAATGTGAGCGTTGTATAAAATTCCTCATCAGAGGTCTGGTCAGCCTGGGCAATCCTCCCTTCCGTCTGGTGAGAGGAATCAGCGGACATGAAACAGATCCAGGTAACCAGAGGTTTCCTCAAAGGGGCTGGCTGGAAGGAACTGCCTGTTTACAGGAAATCTTCCACCTCTTGGTACGGTGCCTGAATATTGGTACAGGGCTTCTGAAAATAAGCACTCCTCTCAGGGAGTTAGGGAAGGATGCCCATAGTGTAGTAAGGTTTGCAAAATAATTTTATTACAAGCGAGTAAAACGTATCCAAATCACGATATACAGATAAAGATTCATCTAGGTGTAGTGAGAACTAACCCTAGGAATAGTAAAGATGCCTGCCGGGCCTCCACGTGGCTCCGGCGGTGTAGTGTCACGATGTCCGGGCTCCTCCTTACATGTTACGTGTGCACGCACATCATCAGGAGACCAATTCATACACATATATGACTATCTCACTTTCTTTTAACTCTCTTCAAAATTTTCATGCCTAAATTAGTTTTCCTTATTTTGTTCTCTGATATCCCTTCATCCCATGTACTGTAATCTCGTACTTCACTTACTTCAGCTCTTATGATCAGCCATAGTGCTCATCCCATCTTCCTTTTCTGACCATATATAAAGTATTCTGTTTGGGACAGGGTCAAAAATTATATTATTTCTATACAATTTGACTCTCATTTCTCTGTGTTGGCTTTTTCCCATGTTTTAGAATTTACTAGTTGTAGTGCCTTACTCTAAATTAATTCCACAACTTAAAGCGGAGCTCCACCCAAAAGGGGAAGTTCCGCTTTAAGTCTTTGTCCCTCGGTCCCCATTAAGGATTGGCACCTTTGGGGAGCTGGTACCCAAATTTGACAGGTACCCGGGTCCCACTTCCGCGGCGATCGCCTAGGCGATCGGAAGCGGAAGTTGCCCCCCCCGTAGTCTTCTGGGACATGTGACAGGTCCCAGAAGACTACAGGGCCATTCACAAAGCGCAGCGCTTCTCGTGCATGCGCAGTGGGCACCCAGCTGTGGAGCCACAAGCTGTCATAGCCGGGTGCCCACACTGAAGATGCCGGCACCAGCAAGAGAATACGGGTGGTGAAACCAGCGGTGGTGAGGACACTGCTGGACTGAGGGACATTATTTTAAAAGTCAGCAGTTACAGTTTTACCAGTTACAGCTGGAACTCTGCTTTAGCATAAAATTTTTACCTGATGTCTAATGTTACATTTTTAGTGTCATACTTCATCCATCCTGCTAAAATAGCTGTTTAATCTGCATGATTCTTACTTCCTTTGGATTTGGTAACCCTGTTACCCATTGTGGATCCCTGTCCACTTTAACCATTTATCTAGGGGCTCAGTATAGGCGGAACCGCACCTTCGGTTCTCTAGCACTCCTCTTGTACTTGGCATTTTCTTAGGGTACCCTCTTACCTCTCATTCCCTTAAAACTTAATGTAATGCCCATATTGACTGACCAGTATAATCTCTTCTCTACGTGTGTCTATACCCTCTTGCCTCTAGATATAGTACAGCAGATGTGTGCTTCATATAACTTGTTAACCAGCACTATTCTTCCTTTTCTTAAGGCAAAGCTCACCATCTGTTCTGGACATTAATACTGATGTTATAGATAGGCAACTCCTATCCTCATATTGATTAGTGGTTCCACATTAATAACTACTGCAGCACAGTGGCTAAATGGTTAGCACTTCCGCCTGGCAGTACTAGGGTCATTGGTTCGAATCCCAGCCATGACACCACCTGCCTGGAGTTTGCATGTTTTCCCTGTGCCTGCATGGGTTTCCTCCGGGTAATCCGGTTTCCTCCTACACTCCAAAGACATGCTGGTAGGTTAATTGGATCCTGTCTAAATTGGCCCTAGTATGTATATGTATGAATGTAAGTTAGGGACCTTAGATTGTACGCCCCTTGAGGGTTAGGGACTGATGTGAATGTACAATATATATGTAAAGTGCTGCGTAAATTGATGGCGCTATATAAGTACCTGAAATAAATAATAAATTAATAATACTGCAGTAGGGAACAGATACAAAATAATACACTCAGCATCTTTCAAAATCACTGTTCTGTTTATTAGTGCCCTGTGCACAAGTGCAGTGTACAATACCCAGGCAAAGCATACAGAATAGAATACAATTTTATACAGAATGTACAAATTTCCTTTACATAGTTAACTTGATAAAGGGATTTAGAATTATTTGGGCAAATTTGGAGTTCTGTTGAGGGGAAAAATAAGTATTCCCCATTTCTGTACATTTAAAAAAGTATCAATCATAATTGCCAATCCTTACCTGCCTCTGTGGTATGGAAGTTAATGATAAGCTATGCCATGGCAGTCAACTCTTAACCCTTTAATAAGTTGTGTTCTGTATGTGGCTCAGTGTCTCTTGGTGTCTTATTTCAAACACAATTTCTTTGTAATGTAGGGTCTCCTGAAGACAAAATTTCTACATCGGCTTAGATATATCTTGGAAGTTGTAAGACCGTCGCCTACCGCTGTTCTGAATATCCTGGAGATTCTTACAAGGGTGGCTCGTCACTCTGCAGCAGCCTGCAGCCAGGTAAGAACTGTGGAGAAATTCCAACAACATGTACTCCACGCCATTCAGCATCCAAGAGCAAAGAGAGGAAGCTCTGTGCAGCTGGTGTTACACAAGGCTGAGGACTCTCTTCCCACCTACATAAGACAGAACTACTCTATGCCTTGAAGTGGCCAGTATCTCTCTTAACCCCAGTGTGGTGGGGAAGAAGGGAGAGGTGGGTGTATAATCCTGGAGGGTCCTTAATTGCCTTCTCTAACTGTCCACATGTACCTGCCCAGCACTGGGTACAGAGCAATAAAACAAAAACAAAACATTTTGCATTTGAGTGCAGTAATTTACTCATGTACAGTGGGGATCGAACGTTTGGGCACCCCAGCTAAAAATTTGTATTAATGTGCATAAAGAAGCCAAGGAAAGATGGAAAAATCTCCAAAAGGCATCAAATTACAGATTAGACATTCTTATAATATGTCAACAAAAGTTAGATTTTATTTCCATCATTTACACTTTCAAAATAACAGAAAACAAAAAAATGGCGTCTGCAAAAGTTTGGGTACCCTGCTTTAACTTCCACTGTTCCTGATGACTGACATTTCTTAATTACATTCCGAACAGAAGATATTGACATCTGAAAACACTTTGCTATCTTCTTATAGCCTTCTCCAGCTTTGTGAGCGTCAACTATTTTCAGTTTCAGTTTTCTAGACAACTGCTTAGAAGAACCCATGGTGCTGATTGTTGGGGCAAAGTCAGATGAGTCTGGGTATTTAAAACCTTTGAGATTGACATAACCTGGTCTTCCCAGACGATGATTGAGAACAATCCATGACACTGGCAGGTCTCAGCTTTGCAAAGGGGGCAGTACAAGATATTAACTCTGCAGGGTGCCCAAACTTTTGCAGACGCCATTTTTTTGTTTTCTGTTATTTTGAAAGTGTAAATGATGGAAATAAAATCTAACTTTTGTTGACATATAAGAATGTCTAATCTGTAATTTGATGCCTTTTGGAGATTTTTCCATCTTTCCTTGGCTTCTTTATGCACATTAATACAAATTTTTAGCTGGGGTGCTCAAACTTTCAATCCCCACTGTATTTACTCGTTTAGGCCCCTTGCACACGAGCGTCATAATCTACTGATGTTTGGGGTACATTTAGACATGCATTCGTCTCTGAAGCCTGATCCATGTTTGGATAGTGCTCCATAGGCTACTGATAGGCAGTGAGGAAGCAATGCGACACCTCCTGTTTTAACCCCATTTGTGTCGACAATCGCGCCGCAACCATGTGCATTGTACATTGTTGCAGGGCATTTGTGGTGCTTCCCCATTGATTTGCATGTGTAGCATTCGGTAGGCTTGCCGTCCACCGAACGGCGTGTCAGGTCAACTCTGTCGTGAAGTGAAGCATCGCAGCCGTGGCATGAAAAACATCCCATTACCTTTTGGAGCTTAAGGGGGGAGAATTTAGTGGGCAGAAAAAAATGCACCTCAACCACACATTTTTGCTGCCCTCCAACTGCTAGGCTAAACGAGGCCTTACACAAGAACCTGTGATGCCGTGTGCAATGAAGTAGAATTTTACTCATCGATGTGCCTCCACACTTTTACTTGCCTATACTCAGCATTGCTTGGGTCTTTACACACAGTTTTTGGCCCCTTGCACAACGGTGCCACAAGTTTCTGAGTAAGCATCAGTAAATTATGACTCCCATGTGCAAGGAGCCTTAACGTCACATAGACTTAGAGTAAGATCTTGCTCCTGCAGCACAGCTACGTTCATGGGATGTTATTGCGTAGGCGGCTGGATTTCAGTGAATTTGTAGTAGGGATCTACACAGGAGGTGCTGCAGTATTGAGGGGGTGGGCTTGGGGAGGATTTGTTTGTCCATTTTAAATGAATGTGTTGCTTTGCCATATGTGGGTAAAGCCCTGGTTCACATTAGTATGCACCCCCCTCAAATTGTTTTAAGGAAATTTTATAAAACCAACTTAAGGCCTTGCTCACACAAAAAGTGCAGAAGAAGGGATGGAAAAAAAATGTGGATTTCACTTAGAGAGGCATGAACTGACATCAATTTTCAGGTCCATTTCAGTGACTTTTATACATGTTTCAGATTCCTGCTCAGAAAAAAATTGATACTAATGTTGTGCTGTGAAGAGGGCACATAGAGAACAATTGTTTTCTTTGTGCCCTTGCAGGAATGTGTGCAGAAAAACCCACGTCTCTGCACATGATGTGAACGAAGTCTAAAAGGCAATGTGTGGTGGTTTGTACATATATTTATGGTATAGACTAAAAAATAAATGAAAAAATATTTTGTTATTTTTTGTCTGCCAGTTGGAAAATATTGAATAAAATATGAATATGTTGTATTGTTATTTCTGGCCGGCAGATGGATTTTTAGGCTCCTCTTCATGTTTTAATATCACCTGTTGCAAAAAAAAAAAAGCTCATTGTTTCATAGTTGTAATTTACACAAAAAATAAATGAGTTGCAGCAGTGATTCCCCCACCTCTTTCCCTCTCTACATTTTTATTTGAAGTTTTGTTAAAGCAAATCTAAACTAAAACATAAAATAAGCATCTATTTCTACTTACCAAGTCCTACGATGAGGTGCCTAGATTTGTTCTCCCTTTATTTTCCCATTGAAATCTTGCGAAAAGCTCACTTCCTGTCCCTGAGGACTGTACTCACTTCCCCACTCTATCTATGACTATGATAGGAGTCAGAGTTGTCACACAGGCTGAACTTCAAATTTGTCCTCTTCATTTCCATTGCATGGTGGGATGATGGGATTAGTTGTCTAAAGAAGCAAAATAAGAATGTTTTTGTTGTATGGTCAGCTCACAGGAAATGACAAGTTCACTGCATTTTTGTTAAGATTAACAGGTATTTGTCATGCCTGAAAGGAGATATTTTTTGCTGTTCCCTCCTCCTAGAAAACACATGTACCCTGGAATTGCTTTGTCATGTGCATTGCAATGAAAAATTACAGATGTCTGGAACACAGGCTTTGGGGAAGTTAGGTGGTGAAGTTACTAAGTGGTTGTCACTCCCAGCTTGTAGTGCTAGGGTCCTGCATTCAGTTGCACCAGGGACACAATCTGCATAGAGACTATGCCCTCCTGTTTGTGTGTGTGTTACCTAAGGTGCTCAGGTTTTTTTCCACAGACTAGAAAAATGCTGATTGGTTAACTAGCTTCAGATCAAACTGGTCGTAGAGTATTTATATGATTGGGGTGGGACATTTATTCCTAAGCTTTTCTTAACCACTATTGTAAGTGGCTTTCTGTGTTATATATAAAAGTACCTAATATATTAAATTTATACAAATTTAGTAATGATTTGTGTTGTTATCTCTTATTTTGTTCTATTCAGCTTCTGGATTGTCCACGATTAATAGAGACAATAGTGCGCGAGTTTCTGCCCTTGCAGTGGAGTATGCCAATGGAAACCGGAGACGTGGCACCTACTAGTGTCCATGGTGTGCCTTGTTCAGCTGCTATGAAGTTTCTAAGAGTGCTAGCATCTTCTAGCCGACATTCAGCTGCCAGACTAGTAAGTATTCGGAAATAATTATTATGAAAGTGTCTCTCTGATTTCTGGATGTTAAGGTGGATGATGTCACAGGTTGTTTAAATCCTACTTCAGGGTGTTTCAAGGATGTACCACTATAGCAACAGCACATACAACAGCGTATACTGGTCATATAGTAGGCTTTGTTATATTTCTCTTTCGAGTGGCTTCCTTTGTTTCTTTTAGGAGCAAATGTGCAGGAGATGTAGAGAATACTGTTTTATTAACTATTGAGGAAAATAAGGTATCGATGGCAGTATGAAGGCTGACAAATATCTGAGCTATCTTTTGAAGTGGAAGTAAAGGCAAAACCGAACAAACTCTAATCCTACTCACAGCCATATTCTAAGCCTAATCTATCCAGCTCTATAAAGAAAAAATCGCTATACTTACCTGCTCTGCTCCGGTCCGGTCTCCAGCAGCGCCCCCTGTGTGCTGGAGACAGTCAACAATGGTTGGGAAATGCGTGGGAAGTGACGTCACCTGTAGAGTTACTATGGGGCTTCCCATAGTTCTGATTGTTAGTAGCCTAAAGAATTTTTATCTGTTTTAGAAGGATGAATTCCACATATACTAAACCTTGAAAATTTCACCAATTAATCTTAAAAAAAACCCAAAAACATATATAATCACCTAGCTGTCCTCTACCGCCTCAAAGACCAAAAACTGAGTGATCAAAGAAAGCTGATTGCTTAGTTTTTTGTCTTCAGCGAGCACTGCACTGCCCTTCCAGTGCTCACTGGAGTGGCTGTGAGTTGCTGAGAGACTGTGCCAGCTGCCGGTAAGGAATCTAGGTGGATCCCAACATTAAACTCGGTATCTCTCCAGAACCTGGACTGGCACAGTGACATTAGCCGACAGCAGACTTTAGCCTGCTGCCAGCTGAATCTGGGGCACAGGAGTGCAGAACAAAGTGCACATCTGTGACCCACAGGAGAAGTAGGGCCAAAAGAGAGCTTTGAAATTACTGTATATCTTCATGGTTCCATTTCACAGAAAAACTTTATTTCTCCTTGTTTCTTTAGCTGCACACATTTGAAATGAAGAGCCACCTGAGCAGATTTGCTGTGCAGGAACCAAAAGACCTTCTTTTGCTGAGAGAGGAGGCAGAGAAACTGAGTACTGAGACCTTCCGCCTCTGGGCTATTGCTGCTGGCTATGGACAAGCTTGTGATTTATACAGGTTGGCTGTTATTAAAGTATATGTTCCTATACCGGTAAATTTAAATAGGTCTATTAGGGCACTATACATATCTTTACATTATCAGACCTGGCTTTAGCCAACATAGGTATTTCAGTAGGGGATACAGAGCTGAGAAACTTTAGATGGAGGCTTAACAAATCCTTTGTCAGATCCCACTTGCTGGATACTAAAGGATGATATGCAATACTTGGGACAGTGATGTTGAAAACGTCTTCCCAACAATTCTTTGGGAGTCTCGTAAGGCCTATCTCAAAACAAAGCTCAGGAAGCCAAGTTAATAAAGTGTATGTAAACCATACATTTATTTTTCCAATATGTTTGGCATTATATTTCACTCTATTCACTTTTCTTATGCATATACATTTTTTTGTCAATCTGTTGCAAAGTTTCTTGCCTGGAGTTTCTGCTAATAGCAGCATTTCCTATTGCAGGCTGACAAAGCGTAGCCTCTGCTAACCAGTAGCAGCAGCGTTGTTGGTCTTCTTCAGAGCTCCTTCAAATGGCTGTTGGGCCTATCAGGTCTCTGCATGCCTCTTGCAGCCCTGACAGGGTAACCCAGTTGCTGACTGAAAGAGTATGCTTGGCAGGCTGACAATGCTGCTTCTAATTGTGAGACAGTGGCTTAACACTGATCGCCTGCCATGCACGCTCCTGCAGAAGATTGTGATTGCCAGGTACGTTGGAGTACATTTATTGTACTTCTGTTGTAGGAGTACAACAAAAGAGTTTGCTTCAAATGTTGCTGCAGAGATGTTCTGGAAATGTAGATCTGTTATAAAATATAATGAAAATATAATTGTTATGTGAAAATAAAAGGAAAATGTATGATTTGATGCTTCCTGTCTTTCAGAGAGCTGTACCCAGCTGTGATAAGAATTCTTCAGTCCCTGCCCAGCATAATTTCCTCCTGTAAAGGAAACAGTTCCTCTGCAGCCTTCTCCATCCAGCGTGCGGCTGCTGTAGTTACCCTGCTCAGTCATGTGACTCAGACAGCGGGCTGCACTGCTGAGCTTGAAGCACAGCTACACAGGTAATAAAATGGTAGATAATTTTAAGCAGTGTACACTGGATCCTGTCCTACAGTTATTTTTGTTTTTTTTTTCATAGTGGGGGATGGAACCTTTCTCTTGTTCAAACTTTTTATTAACAGTGAAACCAATGTAACAAGGGCAGAGAGACATCATCAGTATACATTAAAGAATGTGCTGACAACATAACAATGGGAATAGACAACACAGTTGCAATGTCTTTATGGTGAGGATGAAAGAGAAGATCACAAAAACAATGCAAAGTTTCTTATGATATCAAGTGATTAGGGGTTGGCAGCGATGGATTCGTAAATTCAATCAGTTGGGATAATGACTCACTGGAACATCGTGAAAAATTTAGGATATTTAGAGGCGGATCGGAGAGAGAGTAGGTGAGGACAAGGGGGAGAAAAAGGGTAACAGCAATGACTCCATGAGTGGTAAAGAACAGCATGGTGGCGCGCTGGCGTCATGTAAAGTGGGCCAAAGGCAGCGTTCAATGTGCACTGTATGGGAATCAAGGAAGAAGAAGGGATTTGTCAAAGTTAGGTGGGAGGAAACATTCTACCCAGGGGCTCCAAACATTTAAGAATTTAGGGATCGTGTCAAGAATTGTGGCTTCCACCTTTGCGTGAATCATAGCTTGTGTTATTCTGGATTTAGGAACCTTTTTCTAATTTAGGTTTGAGACACAGCAGCTGAAGTTTGCTATAGGAAACACCTCATTTTTATTTTCCCAATTTCCTGTAGAATACCCTTGTATCTCTTATTTTTTATTTTAGTATAAAGTCCCCAACCTTTGCCTGAATTCTTATACATGACTTTTTTTTTTTTTTTTAAAAGTCTGTTTAAGAAAACATATACTGAGGAATAATGAAAGCTGCTATTTCTTCTGTCTCTGAGAATGTCAGTTGCTTGGCTTTCATGCTGGATCAGTGGTTTCTGTACTTTCCAAGCCACTGTTCTACAACAAGCATGCAGGTTAAGTTGTGACTTCACTTGGACTTATTGATCTTCATGCTGGTCCAGTTTGTAGAATTTTCTGAGACACATATAATACTTCTTCAGTGTCTATAGGCGATTTTGCAAATAATTAAAGAGTAAAAAATAAAGTGTAGTTCCGTGTAGGTAAAACAGAAATATTAAAACAGAAGTTTAAAGATGTGTCACTATTATTTTCATGATCGTTGTCCATGTGCTCTTGTCTTGTGAAGCTTCTGGTCTTAGAGAAGGAGGAAGAAGATGGAAGTAATGAGCTCTTGTCTTAGAGAATGCATCGGTTCTAGTCTGTCACTTCTGTGATTAACCATAGCATCTTTATGCCATGCTTGTGTTTGTATGAGTGTCTGTGTGTGTGTCCCCGTGTCCGTGTGTGGCGCCCATCTTTTAGGATGCCTTTTTATGATGCTTGTATACGTCATAATTCGTGATCTTAGAACCTTGTATGGCAAACAATACTGCTTAGCAGAACAATTTCATTGAAGGGAGGGGACACTGCATATATGGTCTTTTTGATTGACAAGCCCATATGTATTTGCTCCATAGGCTCGCAATCGGCCTACTCATATGACAAGTCTCTGTTTAAAATGATAATATAAACTAAGAAAGTATCTTTACAACATAATATCTCAATAATGTTGTATAACCAAAAATCTACATATGTAACACATATTACCAACTTATAAAACATAAACTAAATACACACAGATACTATTAGAATATATTATTGCATACTAATTCTATTTTGGTTCACTTCTAACACCCTTGACATTCTACACTAGAGTCCTGTAACCAGCTATGCCCTTCTATAGAATGCTCAGTTTACAGCTAGTTAGCTTAAATCCAAACATATTTTTCTGTCTCAGCTATAACTGAAGAATTTAGCACTATCGCTGGTTCAAGGCCAATCACACATTTTAATATTAATTATGATTAATCTTAAAACCCAAATATTTTGCAAGCTTGCAATCAATATAATATGAATACCGTATTATGAATTTGGAATGTTTATCACAGGTCAGGGACTAAGAAAGTACTAAAGCAGTTGGATTGGCATTATATTCCGTGCAGCTAGCAGTTTTAATTGGAGGTCAGCAATATCATGTTTGATATACATCCTGGTATAGGCTTCCATTAACGGAAAGCTGACCCAACCTGCAATGGGTCTGGGGTTATTAAAATGACCTGGCCTAAAAAAGTTTTACATTTTGCCGAAATAAGATTTTGCATGATCTTCCCTCCAGTGCTATACCAATCCCATTTTTTCAATTTTCAAATGCCAGAGTGGCATTAGAGGTCCTGGTATTTGACAGTTGATTGACATGGCATGGGCACCAGAAGAGGTAGAGTTAAAGCAGTAGTAAACTGCAGGTAAGAAAAAAAAAAACTCCCCTGCAATGTAGCATCATAATGTGCTAGTATGCATCACATTCTAGCACATTATGAAAGTCTTACCTTAAAATGAAGCCCTCCAGCGGCTCTCTGTCACCGCTGACAGAGCTTCCATCTTCACCTGGTCTTCCTTCTAGGTTCACAAGCTCCGGCTGTCTGACTGCCGAGCCGCGATGACGTCACTCCCACGCATGGACGTGGGAGTCCCAGGCCACGGCACAGTGCTCTGAAGGAAAGGCACGGGTATACCATTCCTTCAGAGCTCATGCGCAGGCTCTCAAAAAGAGCTAAAATCTCCTAAATGGTTCACATATAGAAGATGTTCATTTTACCTACAGGCAAGCTTTATTATTAGCTTACCTATAGGTAAAGGTATTACAAAAGAGTCTACTGCCATTTTAATCTCAATGTGGAGAGAAGTCAAGGTCCTGTTTACAGCTTAAAGTGTTACTAAACCCACAACAGTAAAATCAGTCTGTATATGCCGTAAAGCATGCTTGTTATACTCACTGTGGAACCTAAGGGGTTATCTTCTGCATTGGGTAAAATTGCTGTTTGATTCCGACTTCTCTGATCCTCCCCTAATTCCAGTGCCCCCCTCTTATCTCCTGATAACACATATCATGTAGAGACACTCTGCACATGCTCAGTTTGTTGTGTACTCTTAGAGAGGTTTTTTTTATCTTGGGAGAATGCATGTGATCAGCACAGGGCCAATAAGCACTGTCCAGACAGAAGTCAGGGGTTTTGCATCCTACAACAGAATGAAAATTCCTCCTACAAGCTTTAACATATGCTCAGCTGGACGCTGATAGAAGTCACAAGACTGCTCTAACTGCTGATGAGAAAAGGTATTTAGCAGTTTATATTTACTAAAAATAATTGCATTTCCATGTTCTGTGTACTGTGGGAGACCAGATATAGTGAATGCAGGGTCCTGGGTTTAGAAACACTTTAAGCCTACGATCAGTGGGACCCCACAAGGGCACAGGGATAAGTTTTATGGCCAACCCAACTACTCTTAATGCAAAAACATCCATGCTAACACGTTTGTACAAAAATTACAATTTAAAAGATGGAAAACTGGTTCAGTGCTACTACACCTATTGAATATAACACAACATTTACCCATGACTATAATAATATACTATAATTTAGTGTGTACAGAAACAGAATAACATGTCTATCAAAATGAATGCAAGTAAATGTGAGAAAAACAATGTTCCTCTTGGTAGTCTGAGCGCTAAAGCCCACCCAGTCCATTTTTTAAAAACTTACACTACCTCCAAGTGCTTTTGCAAATGCATGTAAATGCAAAACTAATTCTTTGTGAATTTTGTTCCTCCATCCACACTCACCCCTTTTTATGAACCTCCCTTAAGCACAGCTGGCTTTTTCATGGTTGAAATGGCTAAAGTAATTGGGGGATGTGAGCCCCAAATACATACATGTACCCAAGTACTTAACCACCTTCCGCTCGCCATATAGTACAATGACAGGCGCAAGGTGGTTCTCTCGTTCTGATAGGACGTCATATGACGTCCTTCCATTCTCACCGTGCATGCGCTGCTCAGGGACACAATGGATCACGGAAAGAGCCGAAGATGTTGGCTCGGTCATGTGATCAGCTGTGCCGGTTATCAGCATTTCTCTCCTCTCGCAGACAGCAAGAGAGGTGAGGAGAGCTGGTAATCTGCTTTCCGCGGAGGGGACATGTACACTGATCATCAGGGCACTGATGATCAGTGTGCCCTGATGATCAGTGTAGCCCCAACAGTGCCACCTGTCAGTGCTCATCAGTGCCACATCAATGCCACATATCATTGCATACCAGTGCACATCAATGCCACATATCAGTGCCCATCTGAGCTGCCTTTCAATGTCACCCATCAGTGCCAGTCAGTGCCCCCTATCAATGCCAATCAGTGCCAGTCAGTGCCCCCTATCAGTGCCAGTCAGTGCTGCCTTACAGTGCCAGTCAGTGCCGCCTATCAGTGTCATGTATCAGTGCTGCCTTTCAGTGCCCATCAGTGATGCTTGTCAATGCCCATCAGTGCAACCTACCAGTGCCTCCTCATCAGTGTCCATCAGTGCCACCTATCAGTGTCCATCAGTGCAGCCTATCAGTGCCCATCACTGCAGCCTTATTAGCGCACATCAGTGAAGGAGAAAAATCACTTATTTACAAAATTGTAAAACAAAAACTAAGAGTTTTTTTTTTCAAATTTTTCAGTGGTTTTTGGTTTGTTTAAGAAAAAAGAAAAATCACAGAGGTGATTAAATACCACCAAAAGAAAGCTCTATCTGTCTCAAAAAAATGGTAAAAATTTCATATGGGTACAGTGTTGCATGACCGCTCAATTGTCATTCAAAATGTGCCAGCACTGAAAGCTGGAAATTGGCCTGGGCAGGAAGGGGGCATAAGTGCCATGTAGGCTAGTGGTTAAATACACCAAAAGGATTCTGTTGTTACTTTAGGAATATTTTATAGCATAGGTCAGGTTCAATGGAGGGAAAGATTTTGTTTTTCTTTTCTTTACAGCAACCTGTGATAGTCATACTTTCAACTATCATCTTCCAGTACAGGCTTGAATCTAACCTGTTGCTGTGGAGCA